GTAGGTAGGTAGTAGGAAAGTCCACCCCTTTTTGAGAGCACTTGCTCATGGGTGACAAAATATTGTCCAATATGTGTGAGGGAGCTACAGTGGGGCTTCAAGCCAGCCCTGGAAGGTTGACTGTGTTCAGAAAGTCTTTCCTGTGCGCTACCAGGGCTGGGCTTCGGTTGCCCTGGCTGGGATCCTACCAAAGGACTAAGACAGCTCACTCACCATGTTGATCTGCCCTTCGTTCATCATAATCCGGACGCACACCAGAAAGGCAAACATGAGCTTGTGCTTCTCAAAGAGGCTGCGGCACACGTTGCTGTAGAGACTGAAGGTGACATAGTTGTTGATGTTCGTGATCCGGTCCTTCAGGGTGTCTGAAAACAACCAGACAAGGGTGGAGGTGTTGAGGGTGCTGTGGAGGGTGCTCTTCACAGCAGCTGTCTGTGCCTGGTCAAGTGTCTAGTCAGTCTCAATTATAGACTTGGCAAAGAAACCCCCACAAAAGGATAAGGCTTTGAGAATATTATGGGGATGGACTGGGTGTTTTCTGGCATGTTATGTGCAATCACTGCATTTCTGAGACACTGCAAAGTGACGAGTATGACACTACTAGGGGCAGCCCTGGGCCACGAGCTCCAATGGAAGCAGACACATCTGTCTTGATTCTGCAGGAACTCCAGCCTCTGCTCCTGAGGGGTTAGGCATGTCATGCAGGGAAGGGGATTGCACCGGCCTCCCTGGAGCTACCTGCTCTCTCGGAGTTGGCGACGCTCCCGAGGGGCTAGGCATGTAGTGCAGGGAAGGGGATGGCACCGGGCTCCCTGGAGCTACCTGCTCTCTCGAGCTACCTGCTCTCTCGGAGTTGGCGATCCCTGTTAAGAAGATGTTGAGGAACCACTCGAGTGAGTACTGGTACATAGGGTCCACGTTGGCCAGGTCTGAGACACAGAAGTAGAGGATCTGGGTGCGGACAGCGACGGGCACATACTCCATGCGCGTGATGTCAATGTCCTTCTCTGTCTGCTCTGCAACCTTTACCTTGGCCTGGGAGCAGCAGAAACCTCACAGTTAGTGCAGGGCAGACAGTGGACACACAGCTGCAGGGGAGGGCACCTCTCACTGACCTCGATCTCTCCTGCCTTGAGCTTGGATGCCTCCAGCACGTTGATGAGCTCCAGGTCATCTACAGGGTTCCCCTCCGAAGTGCTGAGCCGGTAGAGGATCTGGTCTTCTATGGCCTTCAGCTCCTGGCGCATCTTGGCATTGCTGACGACCAGCTGGTTTCTGGCCTCTTCTAAGTCAGGCCTCTCCTCAGCTACCACTTGGCCCAGCAGCTGGTCTTCCAAGCCACTGCAAAGAGAGCCAGGGTTGACGATGGCAGTCGTGCACGTGTGGTGCTCACTAGCATGGGCAGGGACAGAGCAATGAAGTGGTTCTTGCTGCACACTGGGAGGTTGGGGAACTGCTTGCTGCAGGGATTGGGGTTCATGTCCAAAAACACAGTTTCACAAGAGAGGAATAACTTCCTAGATGTACAAATATAAACATAGTCAAGCTGTCTCCTAGAAGTGCAACCTGCAGGAGGCAGGAAGGATTGAGGACGGTGTTGCTATGGGGTGGTTTATTCTTATACTCTTCTCTGTTGGCTGCTTGACACTGTTGGAGATGGGCTCCTGGGGCAATGGCCCTTTGGCTGCCCAGGACAGCTGCTTGCCTGATGACAAGATGAACATTGCTAGGGAGGTCCGTGCTTCCCGACACGTGGGACAAGCTGTAGCTGAGCCCCAGCAGCACCAGGTTGAGAGAGGGAAAAAGGCAGTGGGGATCTAGAAGAGGAGCTACCCGCTGCTCCTGGAGTAACAACGCAGCCCCGAGCCAGGAGGGGCAGGGCAGCAACTCTGCACGCACAGTTCAACCCGCTGCACGTGCTGACCAGAACCAGGAGAAGGGGGACGGACACAGCCTGAAGTTCTCAGACAAGGAGAAAGGTTTGAGAAATGTGGGGCACGAGCGAGCACAGCCAGCAGCGCTGCCCAGCCTCCTCAGCGAGCCGCCAACCAGGGAGACCCACAAACTGTCACAGGTCTCGCCGAGGCTGTGGCAGAACAGAGATGTGGCCCTTCTCTGCGGCACTCTCCCCCTTCCTGAGCAGGTCAGGACTTGGGGAGAAGGGCCAAAGCCCATGGACTGTGGGGAATGAGGCTCACCAGGGTGAGCAGCTACCAGCGCTAGCAGGTACCTGGGTGAGAGGGTGAAGTTGATGAGGGTGACCTTCGTGCAGACCTCCGGGGTGTAGTGAGGGTTGGGCAGTTTGGTGGTGATGTACATCCTGAAATCCTCTTGATAGGGGATCACTGTGTCCCCCAGCTTCAGCACTGTGTTGCCTTGGTGCTTGTAGGTCTGTACCAGAGAGGGATCAAGTCAGGTGGGTTGGGATGTCTCCCTGCTGCATTGCAAGAGAAAGCATCCCACTCTGCCAGGAGAAGAAGGTGGAGACACAGAGGTGCTCAAAGCCGCCCAGCAGACTGAAGGCCTGAATGGAGCAGCCAAATGCCCTGGCCCTGCCTGCCAGGCACAGGTCTGCTGCAAGGGCATTGATAGCAGAGAGAGGCTACCACTACACAGGAGCCCTGGCTGAGGCAGGGGAGCACAAAGCAGCAAATGTTGCCTGCCCAGAGAGACCAGCAAAGCCACAACTTTGATCTGAGGGTACAAGCACCTTCCTCTATGCCCAGCTACCCCTTTTCAGTGTGGCCACCGCGCTCTGCTTGCCCGTTCCTTGCCACGGTGAGAAACAGGACCTGTTTCAAGAGGACAGGCTCAAGGGCTGGGTCTAGCTCCTCGCCAACGTTCTCCAGCAGGAAGGGCTTCCCAAAGCTAATGGAGTTCTCCAGAGTGCTGAGGAAGTCCCGGTCACTCTGCTTGGCCACCTCCAGGTTGTTCTCCTTCTCCTGAAAGGCAGCAGGAGAAGGCAGGGATGGAAAGGAGTCCAACACTACATGGATGCGCTCTCAAGGACTGCACTACTGCTGTGCTGAGTAGAGAGGAAGAAGAAGGGTCTCAGCTGAGCCTGCTGAGGCCCTGGGCCCAGATGTGGGGCCAGGTCTGTAACATGTTTCTTGATGTGATGCTTCCTGGGACAGGTAGGCTATTGCTCGATGAACCTGCTGTCCAGCAAGGGGGTCTGTTGCCCTCTCCCTGCTGCATCTTGCAGCTCTGGTGTGTAGATGTCTAACATGCTGATTTAACTCATTGAAAATGACAGCTTTTCTGCTCAGCTGCTCTTCAGCAGATTTATCCCACTCACAGAGGGTCAGACACCAAGGGTGTCCAGCTAAGCAGCAGGTACAGGGAGGGAATGGCAAAACCCTCCTTCCTACAGCAGAGCCTTGTGGAAACAACCCTGCAGAGCACTGCTCTGGCAACTTGGAGCTCCTTTGCTTGCAAAGTGAGGGCAGGTGTGTGGGAGAAGACCTCAGGAAGCAGCTGCCAGACCTTCCTTCTGACCTTTTAAAAGGCCAGTAAGGGCTTCTTTTGTCTGCCTCTCTGAAATGGAGCAGAAATTGTGCTCTGTGTCTCCAGGACCCCGGCAGCTGATACTGAGCTTATAGCCAGGTAATACCACTCCGAACACCCTCCATCCTAGACCCCCTAAAAGCTTTTTTGAGAGTTGCCAGGTGGGGGTCTGGTGAAGGGTGTGAAGCTCCCCAGAATGCTAATGGGGAGCCAGAGCTGGAATCTGATTCTCCACTTGCTTGCAGAGGGCCCCTCCTGCTGCATGCGAGTTCCCCTGCTCAGGGGAATCCAGCCAGGATGGGTGCAGAGCTTGGGAGCCTTGTCTGGTGCTGGAGAGGCATCGCTGGGACAGCGGGAGGTCCCCCAGCACTGCAAACAAAACTCTGATGCTGCAAGGCCTTGCTCTGTGCTGCTCCTAGCAGAAAGCTCCTTCCCCCGTCTCAGCACCCCTGGGTTTCCTCCTCGTGGCTCTTACCAGGTTCTTGATCCACTTGTTTGCTTGTCCCTGGGGATCGATATAGTGAGTCCAGCGCTGGGAGAACTCCGTTATTACCCCATTCTCCACGGACAGGCTATCGTTGGGTAAGCCAGCAATCTGGTTAAGCCAAAAAAAAGCTGTGTATTAGAAATTAGCAAGGCTTGATGGCCCCATGCAGCTTTCTCCCTGTGGTTCAGGAGCTGGCTGGCCTGGCCTCCCTTTGCTGCGAGTGTCAGAATTACCCTGGTGCCCAGTTTCAGGGGGTCCCAGCCCCTTGGGCTGTGTTTGCTCAGCTAGGGTGGTAGCTACTACAACACGATGAGGATTCTCTTGTCCATGACTATCATGGTCGTACTGAGGGGCTCCTGGATGGGTAGGGGTTGCAGCAGCTGGACCCCAAATTGCAGCTTATGGATAAGGTGTGTGATACCCCCCAGGGTCATTGCTACCCTGGACAGTGCTGGGCTCTGAAAGTGACCCCTTGATGCACAAGGAGCCCCAGGGCCTGGCAGCGGTTCCAGTTCTGAGGTGTGAGGCACCTCGTTGTTACCGAGCTATGCAGTCTGGGGCTCTGTCCTCCGGCACAGCTCTTTCTGGTGACTTGTGAGCTGAGCATTTTGGCCTCTGCCCCAAGTGCTGTCCCCTTCTCCCTGCCGTGCTCACTCCGGCTGCTTGCCTGCCAGGAGCGGATTTCCATGGGATCTCCGAGGGTGCTGATCAGGTTGGGGTCCTTGGTGTGGGGAACGTTGTTCTCTGACAGCTGCCTCAGCCACTCCTTGCACAGCGCTGTGCGGTAGTCGCCCTGCCACAAGAAGCACCTTCACAGTCATCCTTTTAGTTGCACCTAGTCTGCTGCGATGATCTAAGCCCTCCCCGTTCATGTTCATATGTGGCTGGGTGCAGCCTCTGGCACGATGGAGAGAGAGATCCAGGAGGGCCCTTGCATCCTTTTGCTACATACGTGCCCTGTTCTGCAGAGACTGAGGTGTTACAGCTCTGATTTTGCCCCCTGCAGGTGGTGGCACGTGGAGGTGGTGGTAGCAGAGTGACCTGGCTGCCCCAGGCCACAGAGGAGCTGGAAAGTGCTGGCAGCTGTGGTGGCCACTGGCCCCAAAGCGGGGCAGAATCCGACCTGCTTCCTCCAATCTTTCCACTGGAGTTTCTCCAGCTAATCCCGCGACAGCGACAGGCACGTGGCCAACTGAACCCCTCGGGGAGAAGGAGCTCTGCTCACTTACTGTGAACGGGCCCAGGTAGGCCACGAAGCCAGCCGCGACCAGCACGTCCCCGGCGATGTTGTTGAGCATGTAATCCAGGCTCTGTACGGTGTCCTGCCAGCGCACCTTCTCGTCAGCCAGGCCGTTAATGAGCTGAGGATAAGCCATAGACACGGGAGCCTCAGGCTGGGTAACGCAGCGGATGAGCAGAGGTCCCAAAGCAGCCCCTGCCATGCCCTGAGCTCTGTCCCCGCCGCTCAGCTTGCAGCACTGTGTCCTAGGAGCACTCCTGCCCTGTGGTGGCCTCGGGAGCTGTGCTGCAAGAGGGCAGCAGCTCTTCACGTGCCGGGGTGTCTTGTGTAAGCAAGCAGAACGCAGCTCTGTCCCCTACCTTGTCAGCATAGCCCAGCCTCTGCTCGCACTGCTCACACTTCATCTCCAGCTCTTCCTTCTTGGCCACGCAGTTGTTATACTTGGCCTGCAGCATCGAGATGCCGTCTTCAACCTCCCTCAGGCGGTCCTTGGCTTCCTCAAGGACCTGCTGGGTGAGGTGCAGGTCCGCTTCTGCTTCCCGGAAGGCTTGCTGAGGAGAGGCACAAGGGAATGGTGGATGTTGTCAGGCATGGGGCCAGGCAAAAAGGCAGCCCCTGTGGCAGGAGCTGCTTTGCAGAGCAACTGTCACTTGCTATGAAAGCACTAGCTGGAACTGAGATCCTTCCCCATGTGGCAAAGGCTATCAAAACTGCTGTGAACATCCCTTGCACATCCTGGAGATATGGCAGGCTTTTCTGCTGGTCTTCTGACAGTGAGAACTTCTGTTTGAAGCCCTAAAGCACGGCCAGGCCGTTGGCATTGCTCAGCTGGGTGGAAGAAGGCACAGGGCCAGCTCTGTACTGCTGCTGGACTTGGAAATCCCTGCGTTACTGTGGAGGGGCCCCACAGCAGCTATGCTAACATGGTGTGACTTGACCTGCAAAAGCCTCTAAATTAACTTTGCAAATCCTCTTGTTGTGTCTGATAGCAACTGGCCAATTAAAGGCCATGAGCTTGCTCTGCTGCATGGAGTAGAGGACAGGATTCCAGGTCTGGCCTGCTTCACTTTTTGGCTTTAGGTGACCTGCTTAACTCCAAGGGTATTCTGCAAGCCTAGGAATAAAGGTAGGGGTGGGAAGGGCAGTTCTGCATAGATCTGCCAGTCCAGCAGCCTGTGCTAACTTGAGCATGAGCTCAGGATGTGGCCTGTTGGGTAAATGGAGGAAAGGTTCCTCTGCTTGCTCCAAATAATAATACAGAAGTCACTAGGCTTAGAGAAGATTAAGCACTGTAAGAACACTTTTTGCTAAGCCAAGACTCAGCCTTAAGAACAGAGCATCACCTCTGCCCAGCATGTTCTAGATTGATTTCTCCTGTTTTCATACCCTAATGTACTTCTGGGCTTAACGAATGTTGGGTCGAGCCTTGATTTGAACAGGCCAGGGCTGCACCATGCAAAAGGAGCTGCTCGTTCTGCTCTCCCTAACGCCCAGGGTGACCCGGTGACGCGGCCTCTTACCCGCTTGGGCTCCACAGCCTTGGCCACAAAGTGGTACTTGTACATGGCACGCACCCACTGGCAGATGGAGGTGCAGGCTTTGGAGACCTTGGCAATGGCAGATGGCTGGAACTCCACGCTGTCAATGTAGGGCTGGATGGCTTTGATCACAGACTCTGCAATGTTGTCCTGTGAGGAGCAGTGGGAGGGAAAAGAATCATGGAATCACAGTAAGAAAACAGAAGAGGGTGCTAGAGATCTGACTGAGGAAGATCTGAAAGGTTTTGGGGCACTGGGGGCTCAGCAGAAGCCTCAGGGATGAAGAAATAATCCCTGCTTTTCATTTCTGTTAGATAGCTGAGGGGCTGCAGAAAACAAAGCCCTGGAGAGGGGACTTCTGGGGAATAACAAAATCCAGCTAGGTCTTCTGCAACCACAGCTACAAGGGATGACTCTTCCCACAGCTACAGTCTCTCTCAGATCCTGGCAAGGAAGTTAAGGCATCACACTGGAGCAAGAGGAACCAAACTGCCGCGCCATCAGATAACTCCCTTCTTGTACCATGTGTCAGGGTTTGTGTCCTCCTGCACTGATGGGAAAGAGGAAGGGACAGAAGGGAGGGCCTGGGCACCTAGGCCCCCTTGCCAGAGAAGTATTGCTGGCAGAAAGGCCCCTCTAGCACTACTTACCTTGTTGTACTTAAATAGGCTGTCCAGGAATTTCCCCGGGTCCTGGAGAAGAGCCTTGCCGGGCTCCCAGTAATCATCCACCTTGGTGCCCAGCTTTTCTCCTGGCACCCTTTTGGGCTTGATTTCTTTCATGATGCAGACAGCTTCGATCACCATCTTCACACCAACTGGAGGCCGCTGCATTGCTCGTACCTTCAAAACCCAAGCAGAGACACAGTGGGTTGGCTTGGTGCTCAGTGCCCTGCTGACAATAGCTGCTGGAGAACCCTGGAAGGGCAGAGCAACTGGGGTGCTTGTTCCTCAGTGCTGGCCAAGGGCAGGTGGGGACCAGAGGTAGGGCAGGGGGTCCTGTGGGCATGAGGTGGTTTCTTCTGACCCTGAGGGAACGCAGCTGCCACATCCAGCTAGAGAGTTTGGGGACAAAAGGAAGCTGTTGATCTTGCATGCTGCTGATACTTGACTTCTGGTTACACCCACTCATTTAAGGGAGGAAAAAAGAGGGTAATCACAGGTTGAATGTGAGCTGGAGAAAGCTTTGACTGCTGTTTTGCTAGGAAAACTCTGCCTCTCCTCCCAAGCCTCCCCCAGGTATCTCTGAGCAATCCCTGTCCCTGGCAGCCTTCCCTGAGCCCCTGGAGCTGCTGCTGGTTGCTCACCAGGACTTCTTGTTGATGGGCTTCTCATGCACAGCTTCCCACCTTAGTGAAAATGCGGTAGCAGAGGGAGTGATGTGGGGGTGACAGGTGACGAGCACCGTGTGTGGAACAGGAACAGGAAAGGCTGAGGGGCCAAAGGGACTAGCAGCCTGGCTCAGCGACAGGGACAGGCAGGACCCAGGGGTGAGCACTCGTTGAATCCCTCCCTCTGGTATGATGTGGGAAGGACATGCTGGAACACTCAACAGCAACTGCTGCCTCTCTAGCCTTCAGCATGGTTTGCTCTTAGAGTGAAGCTGAGTGCGTGTCACCTCGGGCAGGATGCTGGAAAAGGCTGGGGATACTGAAAGCCCATGGGAAGGAACTGTTGCCAAGGGTGGCCAACCAAAGTCAGCTGCAACAAGTTGCCTGCAAAGCCTGGGCAGCCTTGCAGCACAGCAGAGACGCTTCCCTCAACCCAGCCCAGCTTCCCTCCATGCTCCCCCAACCCTGTTACCTCTGTAACATCATTTTTGTTGAGGTTCCTCAGGCTGGCAAGAGCAGCATCCAGGGCTGGAAGTGCTTCGGCCAGGTCCTTCTGGGCATCATCTGCAATGGCTTGAGCTGTCTGAGCTTTGGCTTTGGCTCTCGCCTCCTCAGCCTGCACAGCGTTTCGCGTCTCTTCAGCTACAGCTGCGTCCGCCTGCAACACCACAGAGAGCCTCAGAAACGCGGTTGGAGCCAGAAGACCTATTTGGCTTGTCTCCATATCCCTAGGTAAGGATCCCAGTTTTCCTGGCAGGTTGTGTGCCTTCTCCTGCTAGAGGGGCAGGCACATGTTGGAGCTTAGTTGCTGCAGGGAATCCCCTCCTTGCAGGAGATTTGTTGGCCTGTGAAGATGATCCACAGTCTCCAGTTTTGGCTGCCCTGGGGGACTGTTAGCTCTGCAGGAATTAGCAGCTCTACTCATCTCCCCTGGTAGCAGAGGGTGGATGTGACAGCAAATACAGAGGGAGATGGAGGAGTAGCAAAACTTGCTGAGGGTTTTGTGGGTAGGCAGAAGTGACAGTTTTAAGACAAGTTCCACGGTTTCTGCCACCCCCCAGTTGAAAGGTGTAAGGGAATGTGGAAGAGAACCAAATCTTTGAGTGGATCAGGCCACCCCCAGTGAGCTATGTGGGAAGATGAGAGATTATAAACTCTTTCGCCTTTGTTCGTGGAGCTGCAGGATGCTGGTGCTTCTGCTCTGCCTCAATCTGGCCACCCTATAGTGGGAGACAGGTGGGGAGGAACTGGGGAAAGTGGGGAGGAGGTGAGAGCCAGCACAGGGACAGTTCTGTGCTTGCAGAACAAATACCCTGCCCAACTCCAACAAATATCAGAGCAGGGTCCCCAGCAGAAGGCAAATCTTCCTGGCAGTGCTGCCAGTCATAGACATGTGCTGGACTGATTTGGGGTCACTATACTGGTCTCCCAAGCTTCTGGCAGAGGTGCTGCCATGATGCAACCCAGTGTGACGCTACTTGGTGCTTGAGAGGTTTGTTCTTGACCACACAGTCCAAAATCCCTGTCCTGTCTGAGCACATGGACTGGACAAGCGTCCAGCAGTGGTACCTGCAGTTGTTCCATAGTTGCCAGGGTGTCCTTGGCCGCTTCTGCCAGGAGAGGGCGAGCAGACTCCAGCTCTTCCTGCATCTTCGCCACATCCTCTGCTGTCTGCAGGAGCTGGGGGAGCAGAGCAGAGTGAAAGCCCAACCATAGTCACAGAAAACCCCAGCAAAGGCCTTTCTGGGTGCTCCCTGCCCCAGGCAAGCTGGCAATGCAGGTCTTGCCTTGGTGCTGTTGCAATCAACAGGCTGGATTTGAGAGCAGTTTTGTTAGGGTGTGCATGCAGACAGCAGTGTCTAATGGTGCCTGCACGTCATGAGTGCAGCTTCTGCAGACACTGCTCTGCTGCACAAATAGTGTTAAAGCTTGTATTAAATCCTATCATCTTATGACCCTTATTACAACCAGCAAAACTGTGTTACAGCTTGGGCTGGTCTTAAGTCCTGGCATCTCTGTGGCTGTAGAGGAGATAAGAGGAGCCTAAAGCTCTCATAGCTGTGAGGTACCAACCTTGTCCAGGCCGCTTTTCATCCTGTTCATGGCTGTCTTCAGTTTCTGTTTCTTCTTTCCAATGAGGGAACTGAAAAGGCTGAGGAACTCTAGGTAGCTTTTGGGAGTGACATAATTGTGCCTGGCCAGCTCTGCCAGGTACATCTGGCACTTTTTTGCCACACTCTGATGGATTTCTATACACATCTGAATCTACAAGGAGAAAGGGAAGACAAACCATCTTATTCAGCACAGCTCAGGTGTTAGGCAAGGATTATAAGGAGCCTAAGTATATGATTGCAGGGAGCTTGCACACGGATGCAGGCTTCAAATAAGAGGGTAAGCCACACAGCCTTGCTGGAAGGCCACAAGGACAGAGGATGAAAAAAATGATGTGACCACCTCAGGGCATAGGAATTTGAATGAAGGTGTCCTGAAACACTTCCTTTACAAGGTAGGGCCTTTTCTGCAGGTGCCTGCATCGTCTGCCCATAGGTATCTGTGCTTTGCTTGTTGAGTGTGGCTCTTACCATCCCATCCACGCCTTCTTCATTGGCACCAAGATCTGGGATCTCATTCAAGAAGGAGGAGGCAACACATTGCAGCGCTTCAGCAGGCCACTCGTTAAACCAGTCAATGGTACAGCAGTTCACTAGAGAGGGGAACTGTCTCAAGCGTGCTCGGAAAACTTCACCAATAGGGCTGTGCCATGACAAAAGCAGAAAAGAGATGTTACAAGCTACTGATGCAACGTTAAAATAGCTTTTCTTCCCTAGAACCATCTTGAACTCTTACAGAGTAAGAAGGAAGGGAGTATATATGGGGAGAAGGAGGAAAGATGGGAAATAGGGAATGAGAGTATTGGTAATGCTTCACCCTCCCAAGGTGCAGGTCACAGTTTATCCCTGAGACATCCTGAGTATATTCTGGAAGCACTGAGACAGGGGAGTGATGTTTTCTGGGCCCCTCACTAAGGATAATGCTCAGGAGATCAACAACGAATTTTGAACAAATTTTGAACAAGATGACCAAAAGCAGGGCCCTGATTTGATCCCCCGTACTCTGCTGTGACCACCCTGTATCTTCAGGCAGCCCCCTGCAAGCACCACAGCGAGCCCCACGTTCATGCACAATATTTCTTGTAACAGAGAGCTTAAGGATGCATGAGGGAGGAGGAAGCCTGTATTTAATCTGGATCCCCTATAATCATATTAAATTTCTCAAATTTCATTTTAAAATCAGCAAGGAGCAACAAATGTAACCGTTCCTTGTGGAAGGCTGTACCCAAACCTTACCCCAAGGTCACGGGTTCAGAAGTACCAACCCTAGGCGCGGCGCAAGGCAACGCACAACGCGGGGATAACGAACACGGCTACGAGGAGGCCGTCTCGGCAGGAGGTACCTCATGCACAGGACCATGTGGATGGTGCTGCGCACCCGTCCCGTGTAGGCAGCCATCAGGTTGGCCTTGGTGGGCTGCAGGCCCAGATCCCGAATGACGGGCTTCATCGCTGTCATGATTTGCTCTTGGTCGTCAAGGTTGTAAATGTTGGGAATATCACCCGAGTTGAGCATGCTGTTGATATCCTCAAGGAAGGACTCGCTTTTAATCTAAGTAAGGGGGCAAAAAAGGCCAGGTTTCCTAAGCCATAAAAGAATCAGACTCCAGATGCCCTATAAATCACTTATGGATAAATATAGTCCTCAGCCTCTGTGACAAGGACATCTGAGGCTGTGACAAGGTGATCACTGGGCTTGTCTTTCCCCTACAGTGACAGAGTTTGCAGCTGAACAGCTATGATTGGTGGAGGGCAGAGGTGGTAGGGCTAGGACCAAACCTTTCTTCTGCTCCTTCACTGCCTCCCACCAACAAGACTGTGCTCAAGGCTTTGCTCCTTGCCCTAAGATGACTCTGTGGTCGCGCTCCAGGCACTAGATGCTCTGAGTCTTTGTTCTTCTGGCACAGAAAAAATCTTTGTTATTAGAGTAAAGCTCATACAAATGGTAATTTTATGGAGATATCAAAGTATGAGCTTCCTCTTCCTACCTATGCACATCTGAAATACATATCATCCATCTATTCAGGTAAAGGTCCCCTCCTTTCCCCTGCCCCACCCCCCACATATATGTTCTTCACTACATGAAAAAAGGATGAGTGAACAAGCAGTGCTTGACAGATGTTAATCTCACTGCTTAAGGCACTGCCAGAAGGGACTTGGTTCCTATGATAATGAAGACAGTATAACATCCTGTAGGGAACATAACTGAACTCCAGAATTTGGCTAAGTTATTAGCAAAGTGTAGCTAAATCTACAGGTGTCTTTGAAAGGAAAGGGAGAAAAATACAGTCCTTCTTAGTGTCAGTGGTCAGCATAGTGTTTAGCTCCAGGCAGGTGGGTTTAAAATCTTTGATCCCACCAACTGTACAGAAGGAGCCCACGCTGCAAGGGAGGAGTTTTGGAGCTCCAGAACCAGCCCACTAGCACACAGCTTTGCAGTCCCCCTAGCAAGAAATGTCCCACTTTTTTTTTTTTTTTTTCTTTCCCCTGGGAGTTATAAAATGGTGAGGGTGGGCCCCTGGGGAGATAAATGTTGTGTTGGCTTCATATCAAGCACCTCAATCCTCTTTAAGGGTTTTCTTGAGCTTAGAAATGTGCTTTTGACTCCTCTCCAGCCCTCTGCTGTGCTAGCACTGCTGTACCTGTGTGTCTGCGAACAGAAACGTCATCGGTAGGCTTTGAAGGCCTGCCTTCATCATGATCTTCTTCACATCATCTCGCCACTCTGTCATGCCGTAATTTTTGGACAGTTCAATCTGGAAACACTCATACTCGGCCCTAAAGGAAAGAGAATTCTGGAGTTATATCCCGCGCCAAACAACTCTTACAGCAGTCATGAGTATATGTTGTGGATACAGTGGGAGAAGAGCAAGTTGTTTTCCTACACCGAGTACACAGATGTCCTTGTGCACACTCAGTCACCAACTCTGAGTGTTTTATTCACAGCTAACCGAAAGGAAGGCAGGGCTGCAACAGAATGAGGGTGGTAAAACCAGTCACTTAGATGAAAAGTAGAAGCTCCAGCTCACGTAGAGCAGAGATATGTGAACTAGCCAGAACCGGGGAGAAGCTACAGGAATTACCCAGCTTCTTGGACCCACGCACACATCCTTGAACAGTGCTTCACAGTGCAGGGGAAGCAGCCCTGTCAATCTTTTTGTGATCCTGCATTCAGTGCAGATGTGCCTGGGAACTCTAGTTGTATTTTTCTAGGATTGTTTCCTGTATTCAGGACCTGAAGAATTTGCTTGCCCTGGCCTATTCCCCTGGCTGCTCAGATATCCCTCTCAGGAGCCACTGGTTCCCAAGACCCAAGGGGAGGCTTGCCTGGCTATCGGTGTCACTCGATCACTTGTCACTGGTAATGCCTGTCATCACCTTCCTGCTGCCCAGCTGCCAAGAAGGAGCCTGTGTCACTCCCATTGCTGTGCTGAGTGATTTGACTCAGATTGTGCTGCATTTGCCGCACACCTACAGGAGCAACCCAAGCTAACAGCAAGCTAGAGGCTCCCATTTTTCTAGCATAGACATACATGTCAGCCAGCCCTTGGCTTCTGAGTTTTATACATGAAGTGTCAACCAGGAAAATAAGTAAACAATGCAAGGAAAGACAGGAAGAGCCACTCCTCTAGCGTCAACATCATGGAGTTGCTCCACACGATGTATGGGAGCACCTGACTCACATGTGGGAGGCCAGCCTGGTGAGAGACTGCCTGCCGCTGCCCCCGACGCCCAGGAGCAGCGCGTTGCCCAGCGCCTGCCGCAGGATGCGGCTGAGGCGGCAGATGTGCTGCATGGCGTCCATGAAGAGCACCAGCTTCATCTCCGTCGTGTTCATTTGGTTGTACTCCTCCAGGTACTCCTCGATCACCGCCTTCAGCTGTGGGCAAGGAGAGTCAACTGATACCACCAGATAAAAGCAATTGTGATGGAGGGGGTGGCTACTGGAGGGCTGTGAGCATGGCCAGGCCTTGGGGAAGGTGAGGCTGGTCCCTCAGAGCTGCCTGTGGGGAGGTGACATTTCTGTTTGCTCTGTGTTTCTCCAGGAGCTGCCATGGAGCGGGCTGAGCTTGGCTTGTGGTGGCAGCTGCTGAATGGTGACCTAAACCAACTCAGGCAAGTGACTAAAGGTTGTTGTTCCTAGCAGTGCTGTTTTCCTGGAAAAGCAGCAAGGAATAGTTCAAAATAAAACTGGCGACAGGTCAGGGCCTCCCTTTGAGTGGGGTGCTTTCGGCTAGAGCTGCTTGTTGCATCCTGTGGTCAGGATACTGGCTGGAAAGGGTGGGTACTGGAAGGGAACCCCTCTGGCTGGAGATGGGCAGAGGGGAAGCACATAGCAGTGGTAGGAGCAGTGTCCTCAGTCCTTTCTAGGGCTCTCTTCAGCAGTGCCCATGGTCTACAGTAAGAGATGAGGCCCCAATTCATATGGGGTCTAGTCCTAACCCGTCAGGAATCCCTCTGACGTGAGAAGAGCCAGAGGCTGGTGGGCATCAGCAGCTTGTGTGGCCCCTCTAACCCTGACTGTCTCAGTAGTGCCCACCTTGGTGCCCACCGACATCACGAGAATAGAAAACTTAGTTAAATAGCAGTCCTTGTCACACAGATATCACAAGAGGAAAAAATGACAGCATTATCCTCTGTTTCTGATAACGAGTGCAAAATGCACTGCTGGCCGCCTTTGCTTAATTAGCACTACCAAAGCACTCCCCATATCTTCCCCAACAGGGAATATGGGAAATAACATTAATTAACTTGGAAAGGTCAATTGCGAAGGCTGTAACAGCAAATGTAGTATTATTTGGGGCTAATGTGCCTTTTCTTTCTAGCAAATTTCACTTTTCTGTCTAGAGAGTGGCTCACTTGAGAACTGGCGCTGCAGCCTGTCCCCACGATGGCAATGCAGAGACAGCTTGTTCCACCTCAGCCTCCCATCTGCTCCAAATGCTGCCCCTGTCCATACTTGAGATGAAAGCCCAGAGGAGAACCCTGCTCAAGTCTGTAATTCTGGACTGTTTTAGCAGCCCTACAGTTAACTGTGTGTGTGTGTGTGTTTTTTCTTTGCAGAAGACTTTTAGAATGTGAACCTAAATTACAAAACGGTGGAGGTCTCCAGAGTCCTCCTACCTTTTCCTGGCTCTCAATGGCTTCATACAGTTTGGTATCAGCACCTTGCACCATGAAGTCACCAAACAGAACTGGCTGGGAGGGGATGACCTCCTCAAAAGTGGTGCCTAACTCCTCCATCATGTGCTTCATCAAGTCATCAAACCAGGTGCGGTCCTCGTCACTGACCAGGCGATCACAGAAGACCCGACAGCTCTCATGGTACCACAGTCTCAGCAGCTGCAGCTTGTCCTGGTAGGAAATCACAGCAGAATCCCCCCATTAGAGAAGCAGAGAAGTGCCAAGGGCTTCTCCAGCAGGAGGGCTAGTCCCTGCCCCGCATGTGGCTGTTTTCTCCTGCTGGAATGCAGCTGGAGGGGAGAAGGAGCTGCGGGGAAGAAGCTGTATTCCCTTCCCTTCACAAAAGCAAATCTTGCCATAACAGCTGCTTTGCAGAGAGCTCATTACTGCTTCATTAATACCTGCTCTATTTGTCTGTATTCTGGGCTTTCTTTGATAGATTTTCTTTTCATATTGCTTGTCCTCATCTCTCCCTCACGGCTTTCACAAGCTTTCAGATTTCAGGAAAGATCCTGTTAGTAAAGCGTAGCACAGCCAAATCCCCTGGTACTCCCTGTGGTGAGTCACCACCTTCCAGCTAGGCTGAAGTCCTCAGCAGAGCGGAGAGGGTAAAGGCCCTCCACTAGCATAACCTGGTAATAAGGTAATACCTCTGCCCCGTGGTCCCCCAGTCTGTCCTCATACAGCCCTATGGGAACGAATGCCAGGGCTGCTTAGCACTGACTCCCTGTGCCCACTCACCCAACGGCTTGTCCTAATGGTATTAGGAGAGCTCTCCAAAAGGCAGGACACAGCACTCACTGAACAATATCTAAATGCAAGTATCTAAGGAGCTGTTGAAGCAATCGCCCCATTGGTGAGCGTGAGCTGCAGCACTTCCAGTTTTCCCCTGGGGGAACGGCTGATGAGAGGACTGACCTCCACCTTGCTGGGCTCAGCCATGAGCATGCCCTGGAACACTTTGGAGAGGTCTCTTAGGTTGAAGGTGTAATGCGACTTTGCCGGCGTAGGCAGCAGCGTGGACGTGATGGTTGAGTACACGCAGATAGTGGCATCAACCAAAGGCTCGTTCAAGTCCTTGACAGCAAGTGCTCCCGCTGCAGGGACAGAGGAGGGTGGAGAGGATGTCAAGGGGATATTAAGGTCCTAGCAGCATGGCCAGGTGTGAGTGACAAAAGTGTTGCTAGGACTTTGCCAGAAACGTGATTTTCTAATGTTTTCTTACACAGAGTCTGTGTGGGGCCCTGATCAAATCACTGCTCATTACAGCTGAAGAGTTTGCCCAAAGCTGTCCAGAGGCTGAGCCCAGCTGGGATGAACACAAGGGGGACCAGATCTGGGGAGGGAAGGATGCCTCACACACAGCGTTAAGTTCTGTCCACCCCAGGGAGAGGGGAGACCTGGCCACATCAGTGCCCACATTAAGTGCTCTGGGTGGGTTTTCTTCTTCCATCTTAAACTCTTCAGCGGGGTCTCGGCTACTTGTAAGCTAGAAGATGTGTGCGAGCACCCTCTTAGTTAAACACCCTGGCAGCTCCTTGAGCCTAACAAACACAAAGTCCCTGAGGAATGGTTTCTTATGTGATGGTGAGTGGAGTAGGATTTAAACACAACTGCCAGTTTTGGAGCACAAAATGCGGCTTTAAATCCCAACAGATTTCATTACAAATGCCTTTGGGGAAGTAGAGTCCTGTGACACCCAAGCATTCCACATTCTTTTTTTAGTTCCTTATTTGATTTACTTTTAAATTGCAGCTAGACATTTTGGTAGGCTCTGGAGCCTCATAGTCAGGTACTGACATTTCTTGGTATTGCAAAGAACCCCCATATGAGCACTTGGAAAGCTCTGCTCTGCCTTCCTCATAGCCCTCTTTTCAACCTGCTGACAGATTTGCAGAGGAGGGAAATTTGCAAAGGTGATCCTAAATTCCCACCCTGTCAAATATAAGAAAACTCATTTCACTCTAAGTGAACCCTATTTTTTCCCCCGGGTGGCGGCAGCACCATGCTCAAATCCTCCCTGCTCAGCTGTCCACAGGCTGCAGCAGATGGAGAGGAACAGAAGGCTCCATTTCTGCAGAAGGCTCTGTCGGCTGGGCAAGTGTCTGCCTACTGAAAGCACAGGTAAACTGTGCTGGTTTCTTTCTAGCAGCCTTGTTCTGCTCACAGTCTCTCTCTCTCTCGCATGTTGCTGCTCGTACTTACGCACTGGATCTCTGTAACTCCTTTCTCCTAGGAGCCCATCTAGAAAACCAAGAAAGAAAACACAAGTTGTTGCTAAACTTGCAGAGGTGGAGGACATGTAGCCCGTCAAAATCCTCTTTGAAAAGCCTCTGTTGTGGGATACCTTATGACACAGATAGTTCCGAATTTTGTGAGGACTGAAACTGGCACATCTTAATTTACTTTGAAGTTTGCTGATTTGCACAAGTAGAGTTTCACCCTAAGACTAAACAGCAGATGGTCTCTGTTTACTAAGACTCGGTCTCTCAAAAGCGCTTTCAAGCAGCTTTCAATTAATGCCAGCTCCAGTTTCCAACATTTTGATCAGATTGTCAGATGAATTCTTTCCCTTTCCACCTCCAGGTTAACTTGCAATGTGAGAAGGAGGCAGCAGTTGTCTGCAGAACTTACCCATCCAACTGCCAAGGATAGTGGAGAAGATGGTCTTCTTGCTGCTGTCCTCCATCTCCGTGAAGGAGAGGTAGTTGAAGTGGCGGGTAAGGCGTGGAGTGACAGGATTCCTTCCTCCTCCAGGAGGCCCCATGGCACAGACAAAATTAATATCTACCAGCTTCTTAAAAGTACCTGAGGAGAACAAAATCAGGAGGGGACACGGAGCTAAAGCTCAAAATGCTTCCTGAGGATCTCCTCGGTAGGTTTGCATCTATCAACAGGACAACTTTTGCTGGAAGCCCTGGGTAAGGTTCTCGGTCGTACCGATCTGCTTGCGGTCGTACCAGCCCTGGTGGTCCATCCACTGCCTCAGCAGCTCAATGGGTGGCTGAGCACCATACGTCTCCAGCGCAGGCATGTTCAAGTCATCGATAAAAAATATGAAGTAGCGCCCGAGGGGAGGCCCGAACACACCTTTTCGCCTGTGAGAAGGACAGAGGATCCAGGACACCTCCTGTTGTAAAGGTACTTGTAACTCAATCCAAAGTGTGTTTGTTTGTTTGTTTTTTTCCTTTCCCCTCTCTCTCCTGCAGGCTTTCTGGGGCAGTATTTTCAGGCATTCTACACTTAATCTCCTCCCTAGACTCCTTTACAGCTCTTTGGTAGTCATTCCTTTAAGTCTTTGCATAGAAAACACCTAATGCAATATTTGAGGCACTGACATCCCTGTAATTCTATGGGCCAAATTTTGTCCCAGATCAGGTTTGATGTTTGCCCTATTTCTGTTATCCAGAGTTGTATTTGTCAGGGGCCCCTTCAGGTCTTGGGTTTAGAATAAATGTTGAAGCTGATAGTGCAAACACTGAGCTCAGTGATGCAAACACAGGAAGAAAACTTGCCTCTTATCCAGTTTGCTATCAATGAGATCCTGAGTTTGGTTGGCAGAGGTGCGAGCAGAAAACATCAGGAAGTGGGAGATGTATTTGAGAGGCAAGTTCTTCAGAAGTTTGTCTGCAATAGTGAGAGTCTTTCCTGTGCCAGTGGGACCAACACAAAGAACCTGGAAGTACAATCAGCAGTGCAGTGTAACTACAGGTGGGTGGTTTATATTTTCCAGCTCTCTGACACTTGCTGGCAGCAATGCAGACTCCTGCTCATGTGGGTTTTCAAAGGCTGGGAGAAGGCAGAAGGTTCCCTCCTTCAGCAAGGATCCCTGCTTGAGGTTGCATATCTCTCAACATGGAAGAAATCCAACCACAGAAGTGTGAGAGGGAACTGCAGAAAGCAGGTAAAGAGGAACAGTGACAGACTATCATCCTGATGGGGAGGGAACTAGAAATTACTGCACTTGGAGCTACTGAGAGTTGTTATTGCTCTGGGGCATCAGCCTGGTGCCCGAGAAACTAAATGGACAACTGTTGTTTAAGCACAACAGACCCATGAAAGTGAGGAAGAATCTAAGGAAATCAGGTAACTGCCCGGTTTTGAAAACAATGGGAGAGGAAAAGATGTTTCTGTCTAAGAGAATGAAGTTGAACCCAAAAGCAAAGACAAGGCTGAGTGCGTACTGGCTTACGGTTGGTGAGCAACAGCTCCAGGAGATGGGCCATCCGGACTGTATTCATTGTGGGGATGATAATGTCACAGAAGTTGGTGTCCGGAACGAGGGTGAACTGTGCAGTAGAGTCCAGCCACTTCTCCCAGTGCACCTGGAAGACAGGGGTGTATTTAGAGGAGGTACCGGCATCTGCCACTGTGGGAACAAGGAAGTGGCATTTCTGATGTGTTTTTCCCCTGTTGAAGCTCCTTGTGGAGAAGCTCAGATTTTGACCAGGAATTCAGAGCCCGGTCACTCAGTCTAGTCTTGCTATCTATGTCTTTATGGCTATTCCACAGGTTCCTCATGCATTTTCCTGTAGGAAGGCAGGTAGCCTAAGAGTTAGAGACTATTCCTTTAGAAATAACACACTTTTCCTTCTGAAAGCTTAGCTCAAATGACGAGAAGCAGCATTTGTGATGTTTGTAAGTGGAATTCTGCCTTAACCTGACCTACCCTGTGAGAAGTACTCCACTGCAGAGGACTAAAGAGGATTTAGGTGGAATCTCCATGTTTGGTGCTCTCTTTGCTGTTGCGTTGAGAGTCACATGGAGGGCAAGAAACTGTCCTCTTCCTTTAATGAAAGGTTTGATTTCACTTTAAGCATTCTCACATGGTTCTTATGGGCCTTTCTTATTTCTTTTTGATGAGAAAGTCTTGCCAGATCCCAAATCCTGCAAGGTCTTGGTGCTTCCTGTCCCTCCTCCCTGCCTTGAATTTCCCAGTTGGGAGTTGACAGGTGAAGTATTTTACCTCTTTAATGATCTCGTCATCCAGATCATCTTCAGCACTACTGAGCCCAGCATCGTCCAGTTTATAGTCATATACCAGCCCTTCTTCTGGGAAAAGTAACTGTATCTGTGGGAATAAAGCTGTGGTGAATGGAGGGGCCACGCTGCTGAACTCACATGAGGACCTGGGCTGCTGCAGAAAAGGGCACTTTAGTAACAGCATTTTGCCCAGTCCAGGTTGCTCCTGCCTTTCTCCCAGGGCCTCTAGCTCAGGTTGTCTCTTGAAGCTTGATGGTTGTGTACTGGATTCCAGGAGGAAGCCTTTGTAAATCTTAGAGGATTCAAGGAGCTTTGACTCCTACCCCTCATTAGCAGCTCCTCTATAATGAGAAAGGATCTGCTTTTCCTTTACCTTTTCCTTTGCCATCTTCTTCCTCAGCCACAAGCTGAAGGCCACGCGGCTTTGGGAATCTCCTGTAGCACCCACGCTCCAGATCAAGGCAAACATAAACCAGGGTTCAATCAGCTCTCCGATACGTGCTGCCTTCTCCTGGGGAATACTCCTAATTCCCTGAGGAGCCAAGAACAGCAGAAATTGTGAAGCCTGGTTAAGCTGCATAAAATACAGACTCTTCTTTAAGGTGAGTGTTCTTCTATCAGCTTATATGTAGAAATTTTTTAGACCTTTCTTCAGGTCTTTTCATTATAATCTGTGGATTAAAATTTCCTCTATTCCACTGGTGTGCTTGAGAACCTCCTTGGGAGGGGAGTATAATTTAGTTTTGGACGATTTTAATTCTAAAATTGCCCATCTTCCTTCAACACTAATTTTCAAAGTACCTGCAATCTGAGTTGTATTGCTGCTTAGCTCTGATCTCTGCTTTCCACTCACTCCCCAATTCCCTCTGCTATAAATATGTGAACCTCTTACATCCAGCCTGCTTGGCCTGGAGCTTACCTGTTTGTTCTCTCAGTGGACCAAAGCCTAATTCTTGCTTGTGTGCTTAGCCTGTGTTATATTCTAGCTCTCCTTCCCCTGATTGTGCATGGCCTTCAGGTTTGCCTGTACTCTGCAGGATGCTGTACTGCCTTCTGCCATGTATATGTGCTGCACTTTGAGGTTTCCTTGCTCCCCAGTGACTTATCCTCTGCACAAATTAGTGCCCAAAAGGGTGAGAGGCACACACAGGCAATAGCAGCAAAATCCTACCTCGATGGCAATGAAAGGCTGAAACAAACACTCCAACAGCATGAGGAGGCTCCTCGTGAGGTTACTGTCTGTTGAGGCAATTATCTCCTTCACAGAGTTTCGGACAAAGGTGATAGCCTCCTGTAAGGAAAGGTGGGAACAGCTCGGTGTCACTGCCACACACATTTGAGTTTGTTTGTCCCCTAGAGTTCTGGTTTCTCCTCTCTTCCCTGCAGGTTATGTTGAGGATAAACGGACTGCTGAGAATGCTGTCATCTCCTGTTGTGTTCCAAGCACTGCTGTTTTACTGGACAGAGGTAAGCTAGACATCTAGGTTGAGTTTTAACTATATCAAAGCTTTGGGCCCACCTTTTGGCTCTAGAAGTGACCCACACCTTGCACCAGCAGTGTTGTTAAATGGTTTGCTCCTCTCAGAGCTATCCTCAGCTCTGCATTATTCATTAAAATCGTGGCTCAGGAGCAGAGTGGAAGTAGCAAGACTTGTTGTTATGAATTTCTCCCAGAAGTAACACCACTGTAAGAAATGGAACTGATCCAGGGGTGATTTTGGCTGGAGGATGATTTAAAATTAAAGCAAACAAACAAAACACTATAATGGCCAAGAAAACTGAGTCGCATCTATTGGTATAATTGAATAATATCCATTAAAACCCAGGAAATTCACAGAGCAGTTTGTATACAGCAGTCTGAAGTGCTCCTACGATGCCATTTAAATCCCTGTCTTGAAATATAGGCCAGTCAACAGCAGAGCTGAGGGGCTCCAGGTCATGGAAGAGCATGTTAGTTTACCTTAAGGAATCTCCTGAAGAGCGAGGCCAACTGCTCTGAGAAGGGCTTCATGATGCCTGGGATTTTCTTCAGCCAACACTCGGTGAAGGGCTCCAGCCCCAGGATGCTGGGCTCCAGGTAAACCATCCCACAGCGGGAGACTGTGGCGGGGGAAGCGACAGCCAAGTCCTGGACTTCAAACATCATGGTCATGTTCTGGGAATTCCAAAAGAGGAAAAGCAAGGATCTTTCAGCACAATTGTTCTGTTTGTCACCACAGCAGAAGTCTGGCCAGGACAGGACTACTACTGAAACACAGATTTCCACACAAGTTAGTCATGTAGCTCAAGTGGAAAGCAAAAGGCAAGTCTGTTCAGCAGCGGGGAGAAAGAAAACAAGAGACAACAGGCAGCAAAAAGAGCAGCAATGAGATACCTCGGTAAGCTTGATGATTTCTCCTGAGCTGAGACACAGCTTCTTATTGTCATCCAGCACCGTGTTCATGTTCTCAATCCACACGGCATCGACTGGCCCATCAAACATATACCACTTCTTGTTGGTGTCCGTGGCCACAGCTCCACGCCGGATGAGCGAGGAAAGGATCCCATCTGTCCTGAAAGGTGGGAGGGAGGCAGCGCTTGGCCTATTCTCTCTCTTTTTCTTGTCTTTTTTTTTCATGAAATGGGTGGCAAAGCTTCTACATAAGGTAATGGATTCAGAGTCTTGCCCTGGATCATGTGCCTGAGTATAACTGTGCCTCACTTGTTAATAGCTGCATGAAGGTTTATCCTGTTCTTTCTTTTACTGTGTGTCTCCATCTGAGCGGCACCGTGAGGCAATCTCTTTGGGCATTAGGATGTGGGCTTTGTGCCATTTAACTTTAAGATGTCAAGTTTCCCTTTAACTGTCCTCAGAGAGAACAGATAAGGTGCTGCCAGCATCCAGTTCAGCTGGCTCTCTGGAGGCACCTCTTCTCCACTAAGTATAAAGGGAGACTCAGGACAGGTTCTCTGCTAAATAGTTGCTTCAGTTGCATGGCTGTATGTCAGGACATACAATTCAAGGCTAAGGAGCCTGAATCTACCCTCCTTATAACTAAGTTTTCCATCCTCAGCTGGTGAAAAGGAGAGCAGACAAGGAGCGATGGCTGGTGACACTGAGAATTTAATCTCTACGTGGAAACCGGGAGTGCAATTTCAGTTCAGGTCCTAAACTCCACTTCCATTATTAAATAATTATTTGTCATTTATCTAGTGGTAGTGATGCTCAGGGTATTGTTACTGAGATTGAGGAAAAACAGTTTGTCCTAAAGCTCAGCTGATTAAAGCAGATGGATTTATGGCCATAACTGCATTTTATGTGGATGCTGTAGTTTTTGTCACCTGGATGTGCCTGCATGTGCCCTTGGGAAGAGTAGCACTGTAAATAAGTTGTCAAGTTTAACTGGCATATCATATAAAATGTCCTTCAGTAAGGATGCACTAGAACCCAGGTCTGGATAGCTCTTGGACTAAACATCAGAAATGTTTATTTGCTCACACTTTTTTTAGGTACCTGTTTTCAATTTTACTTTTTCCCCCCTGTTTTTAAGGAACATGCCTCTTAGCTTTGTCCCTAAGCAAGTGATGAGCAACAGGCCCAAATGGAGAGTCATACTGGTTCTTACCCTTTAGTGCCTGGATAACCTGGTGGCCAAAAGGGCAAAGAAGCCATTGGCCCTTACTTTCAAAGCATGAAGATAAGCAGGATCCCTGATGATGGAAAGGAAATACCTACTGTCCCTCCACGCCTGGAAGCTGTCTCACATTATTTAAGGCCACCAGCATGTTTATTCATCACAGTCCAAATGTGCAATGTAAAGCTCGCTTTTCTTCAGAAACATGTCAAGTGTTTTTAAGCTGGAGCAGGGGCATCTGCTCCAAAGCAATTGAAATATTTCTTATTGTGGCTAGCACTGCAGTAACTGTCTGGGAATGTGCTGAGAGCTCAGCTGAGCATACAAGAAAAGACGTCGGCTTACAGAGCAGCGACTGGCTATTACAAGTTGGTGAGGAATAAGGACTTGATCACTTCTGCTTTTTTACCATTACTCTAAGGAATTCTCAGCCTCCAAGAGAAGACTCCCAAGACCAGAGAAGAGCTTCCAGAAGGAAGGAAAGCAGGTTTTGTACTTTACCATTCATGCGTTAGCAAGTCAAACTCTCCATAAAGCTGGCCCATTGTGATGGACTTGGGGTTCAGGATAAAGTAGTTGACTGCTTCATAATTTCCACCACTTGCTGCAGGCTGACCTTTCAGAGAAGTCATTGCCTCTGCCAGGACTTTGTAACTCTGCAAATGCAGGAGAGCAAGAGAACTAACTGCTGCAGCTCCAAAACATCAAGGGTAACAAGAAAATGCCATCTGTATTTACAGAAATAGAAGATTCTAGAAGCATGGGGAGGAAACTAGTACAAGAGGCCTGAGGCATCTAGAGACATCACATGACACTGGGGGAAGATGTTGAAGCTTGAAGTTTGCCTCAGCTTTAGAAGTTTACAGCAGTGCTAATAAGCCTCAGCCTAATCTCCCAGCTCCAAAGAGCAAGCTACTAATATATTTCCCCATGGCTATAAATCAATATTTAAAGTCAGCACAGAAAACATATGGTTGCTGGCTTCTGTCGGAGAGAATCTGGAAATGCTAGAGTGTGAGTGTCTCCTTGAAGCTTAACCCTTTACCTTGCTAAGCAGGTGCTAGTTTGCTGAGGCCAGCATGGTGCCTCAACCCTACCTTTGTCTTCCCGGAGCCCGTTGGCCCCACTAACATGAGGCCGTGTCGGACCACAGTGGTTTCGTACAGCTGGATGCATTTAGTCACAAAACCTGTAGAGGGAGATGGTGACAAGTGGGTCTCGGAGCCTCTGTCCCTTTCCTAGCGCAGAGTGCTGAACTGAAAGCCCAGGCACAGAGCCCTGTGCTGCAGAGCCTTTCCTCTCACCATCAACATCCTTCAGATTCTGTTTGATGCAGGATTTACGAATGGCTTCTTCCAGGATACCATAATCAACAGGCTGTTCTTTGATTTTGGGAAATAAATCTGAGACGATACCATTGAAGAGCTTCAGGTCATCCTGCAGGAATTTAGGCACGTTTGCATCCCTGATAGCCCGCAGGCAGATCAGCTCCTGCAAAAGTTAAGAATTCATAACTGTAAAGATCCTGCCTCTCTAATGTGGCTACAGACAAGGCTGCTAGGTTTATGGTGGTGTGAAGTACAAGCACATTCACCTCATCCATGGCTGGATTCTCCCTTTTGAGGTTGCCAGCTGCTGAGATGACAGTCTTCACAGCTCTCATCCCAAAGTCATAATGGTCCTGAAACAGGTATAGAGGAAACAATTTCATGAAACTATGCATTTGATTAGCAAGTAAAAAAGAAAAGGGTTATGTCTTCGGAACAATCATTCTTTCATCACAGTCTGTTTAGAGGATCCTTCAAACAACTACTCTTCGGTAGGGAGAGCAGGTAAGGAAAACAAGAATACCTGGATGATGAAAAACCCTCCATGATGGAAGGAAGAGTCGGCAGGACTGCTTCACTCTGTTGTCCTAGTGCTGTTTTATTTAGGACTATTAGATAAATGTAAGTCCTGGCATAGGAGGGGAAACTGGAATTAAGCAGTTGGATAGTAGGTGGATAGTAGAGAGCTACCCAGGTACTCTGCCTGGGCTGAGGAAACCTCCTATTTAACCAAGACATTCATGGATTTCAAGGCACCTACCTGGGTGCTAAGTTGCTCTGATGATAGTTTGAATGTGGTGGTGATCTTCTTTGCAAGGACCTTGGCTTCGTTAAACCCAAAGGAGTACAGTGAGATCTCAGCAATCATGGAGTAGTCTGGCACCATCATAGCCACGGGACGGAAGAGAGCCTGGAACATACAGTTCCAATAGAGATGGAAGACGCTGTCGTTTCTCACTTTTTTTTTTTTTTTCCAGAAAGCTGAATCGGTTGTGTGTTTATCCCAAACTGTGCTGGACACAGCATGAATGTGCCAGACACCTCCCAGGGTGGTAACCTTGCAAATTCAGAGCTCAGGAGCAGCCCTGCCCTATGAATGTTGCTCAAACCTTAGAATGATCCCAGACACCTTCTAAGAGCATCATCTCCTAACTGTTATCACAGACACGCTGGTGGTCTAGGTAGCATCCAGCATCCTTCTGCCTGTGCAGTTTGCCCTCCTTACCTTCAGGTTATCGGGTAATTCGGTGCGTCCAGCATACCCTGGGTTCATCGTGATGAAGACTGCGCAGGATGGGACTAGTGGTATCTCCATGCCTTCAAACATGAAGCGAGTCACCTAGAAAACGAAAAATACAGTCATCTCCAAAGGACAAAGCCAGGCATGGGAATTAAAAGCTGGGAACATGATCTTCCACAGGAAGGACAAAGGATTTGAGTAGTAAAATCAGCAAGTGTGGACACGGCTGCTCAGTATTGTAGTGCTGCAATTTGGTTCGACTGTAGGAACTTGGCATTACCAGGAGTACTTTTCCCTCTTGAAGAAACTTGGCTCATAGATTTACTGATAGGATACCAAATTGTTTGGTGCTCAGACATACTTCCATCCCTCTGGCTGTAAACAGTCGGATATCTTTCCATTTATTCTGCAGGAGAGTTAGGGCCTGATTTAATTTGTGGCAGACAAGGCAAAAGACAAACCTAAATCCTTTTTAAAGCTGTGTAGGTGGTAATTTCAGATGGGGGATAAAGCAATACAGAGGAATTCACAGACAGCAAATTTCTAATTCCAAGCCAAAGCCAAAGAGCTTCAGGTCTTAAACCCTCTGAGTCTCCAGAGGAGCAGAACAGAGGCTGACTACTTGCTGACAGCTGAGTGTCCAAGCAAAGCCAACTAGTAACCTTATTCTACAACTGCATGAGCATGGATTTTTGTGACGCATTGGGTTTTGTGAATACACAGAAGCTTGGAAAACTCATTTAGGCAAACCTGGTGCTGAGCAAGTCAGTGTAGAACACTGGATGCAACTCCAGATTGAACCAGCTCCGTGGACCTACATCAGTGAGCTCTCCCACAGCAAAGTCTGCAGAGCACCCAGTCTGCTGGTGCTGCAGCTCGAGCTGGGATGTGCCTTAACCTTTAGAGTGTGAGCAATGGTGGCAGGAAGGACTAAGGTGAGGTTCTAAAATCATCCAGGCTGCAGAGTATGTAACAGGCTGCTATGAGGCTGCTGCAGCTGGGGCATTGCCCATACCCATCCAAGCTCAAGTATGTGTGTGTGTCTGTACGTGAGTCTGTGATCCTCCGTGAAGATGCATGCAAAGAGAGAGTTGCATAGCTGAAGATTTTTTTTATATATATTTTTGGCTTTGCATCTATATGTTACTCACCCTCTGCTGCTGTGCCTTCTGGATGGTTGTGATCTGCTGGGCCACCACAGACAGCACCTCAATATCAATGCGGTTGAACTCATCAAAGCAAGCCCATGCTCCAGAGCTGGCCAAGGAAGGAAAAATGAGGGAAGTCAGGAACACCAAGTAGCTACTATGCATTGCAGATCATGTGAGGAGCAAAAAGCTGCATGCCATGACCATGGCTACATTTGACCCTACAGTCTCACACAAAACCTGCTTATTAGAGATCAAGACCTGAAATAAGTGACATGCTGCATTCCTGTTTTGCACCTGAACAATAATGATGTAACTTAGGCATCTCTCAAGTCCATTGTTCCAAAGCTTGGAAGACAAGTGTATATATGAGGAAGGTAATCTTCCCACAAGGTATGGTTTAAGCATGAAGTGGAAATCACTCATAAAGAAAACACCTGAGAACAGTATCAGCATTTGCTGGAGTAACTAATTCAGATTTACCAGCATGCAATGGACTAATTGGACAGCTCTGATATGTAGAGAAGCAGGAAGCTTCTCTGAGAGGATTCCTTAGGGCTTAAAGCAGTGTCTCTTGGCTACTAAATTTTTGATACATTCAGCTTTCTCTCTATTTCATTCTCTTTCTTAAGATTAAACAGCTTCTGGACTGATTCTCAGTCCACCGTGTGAGATATTAAAGCAAAAGCCAGGGTTGAAAACGTTTGTAGACACATCTAACAGTGGATGGTACAAAGCATTTTAATTTTGCTTTAAATGAAAAGGCCTTTAATGAACAAGACTTTTTTTCTTTTACTGGCTCAGCAATGCCCTGTCCTTTCCTCTGGGCAGGCATTTTGTAGCTTTGCTCATTCTGGAGTACGGTAACCCCTCTTACATAGCCTTATTTCTTTTTATTGGGCTGCTATGAAAAATACCCACCAATTCCTAGTGGCAAGCATGCCTGTGTTCTACCTGCTCCTTGATAATGATACTGAGCATTTCATTGTACCTGGCTAATCCCTTGAAGAACTTTCCCATTGCCATAAAGTCAAGCTGGTCGGAGCAGTTGAACACTACAGTTTGGATGGCCATTGCTTTCCCCAGGTCTTTTGTTGTTTCTGTTTTGCCCGTTCCTGCTGGTCCTGCAGGTGCTCCTCCAAATTTCAGGTGCAGAGCTCCCGTAAGCGTCAGGTAACACCTAAAACAAAGAAGAGATGAGACATCAAGAACCACTTCTGCTACTACTTTCAATAAAAGAGCCGTGATCTATCTAACTGGAGACAACATGACAGGTAGGAATCCATCCTACTACTCACGAGAACTGCATATCTACGCAGGGCTCTGCAAAAGAATTAGCTATGTGGCCTTGATTAGTATTCATGGGGGCCTGCATGGATAAATCCTTCTGCCACTGTCTGCAAATTCGCTCACCAGAAGGACTGTTAAAAGGGCATAGCTATTACTGCTGATGCATATTTCGGAGTAGTAGATGTTCGTGTATACTGATTTGTAGAAGTGTTCCTAAGCTATCAGGGGGCATTTTATACAATTCAGAACACTACATTAAGAATGAGAAAAGTGAAAGCAATCAGTCAGGGTACTAATGACTAGGAATGTTGTAGAACCTGTGCCAGTGTGCTGCTTTGACCTCATTTCAGCTATTCCTTTACTATACAGTTTCTATTTACACACTTTAAGCAGAAACACCATCATGGTCATACCCTTAGCTTAATCCCTAACAAGAGACTTGTGCATTCAGAGGTAAATACACACACACACACACACACATATATATATGTACATATATACAGTGTTTATTATTCAGAAAACAATCTCCTTACCTGTCAGTGAGGGGTGTGATAACCAGACGGCCACTGTTCCCCAGATACTCATAGCCATAGATAAATTCAGCATTGACAGCTCTGATGTACAGGTCCCCCCTTGTCCAGTAGTATCTAATGGTGAATGAACATAACATCAGAAACGTAATCACTGGCTAGTGGACAATACAGCAGCTCATAATACTGTAGCCTCTTGCTGATAAGCCACAGATTTGGATAACTGGACATCATGGGATTTGAAACTTTAGAGAAGGATAATGTAACACAATGGGATGATTGGGAATTCTCACAGGACCTAAAATCTGGTGTTATACCAAGTATTGTAAACTTTCTTGGGCAGACGCAAGCTCTTTTATGTTGCAGTACTTAAAATACCATGGCAGGACTTAATGTGTATTTCACATACCCAAGCAGATGGGGTCTGTCTCAGATGCCTTAGAACTGGCATTCTCAGGAGATTCTAACTATGCTCCTCATCAGTGTGTTAGAGGAACCTCAGGAATACCACATACAGACTAGGCAAACACTTGTTTCCTTGTGTCCCAGACACGACTGATGCCTAAGAAAAAGGAAGACTGGCCAGTGGGGCCAGCTGAGGTTCAACAGCTGTACCTGAGCTGGGAGATCCACTCAAAATCATTCACGCCTGTCACGTTCTCCTCAATCAGCTTCGCAACAACATCCTTGGCGTGGACCTCAATCACAATGAGAGCTGATAACACTGCTCGCTGCATCTTGGACAGTTTTCCACGGACCAGGGCAACCAGACCGGCCAGCTGAGTGAGAAAAAGAACATACTCTGGAGCAAGCCATATCTCAGACACCCAGGCTGCACTAATGTGGTGTAAAACACCTCAAGGTATGCATGCTGAGTCCAGATCATAGGCTCATGTGTCCAGATAACTCTGGAAAAGATATCCTTCATTTTCTTTCTGATTTCAGATAATGATATAATGTACAGAGCTGATAGTATAAGCGTCATGATGACAAATATACTAATGATTAAACTGATAAAACTGTTTTTCAGCTGTGCAATGCAAGATTTTATCCCTAGGAGAATACCACCATCACGTTGTGGCATACTTGGATTTGATGAGGTTTTTGGGAGCAAATTTCAGGTACTGTATCTGTAGGGGCTTAGGTTAAGAAGTATACGGTACAACTACTGGAAGTCCTCATGACACTGTCATTACTACTTATCTTATAGTATTGTCCTGACTGTATTTTTAAGTGATCTCAGGTCTTATGACTGACAGCAAGTCTCAGTGTGGCAAAATCTTACCTTTGCATTCACTTTCTTACCTGAGTACCCAGCTGTGGGAAAAGTCTGCTGGCCAAATCTCCAGCTTCCAGAGCTTCGGACACCTCCTTTGTCCAGAAAATCTGACAACCAGCAATGGTTACCTGGCCAGGCCATTGCAAAACCCAGGTAGTACGTGGTGTCTTTAAAAAAATAAATAAATAAAATATACTTTTTTCTAAATCTTCCTGTTCTGAGCGGCATCACTAACACACATCCAATTTGTTGCAGAAAGAACACTGCCCTTGTTCTACAAGAAGCATCGAAGATTTCCATTTTCTCTTTGGTTGCCACAAAGATATCTCCTCCAGACACAGGCTCTCCGGACACTGCGTAGAGCATCTACCTTCCTTCTGCTTTGCCATCTGCAGGTTAGTAACCAGCTACAAATAGCCACCAGCAGATAAGGACTGGGAATGTGTGAGAGCCAAAATGATGTTTCCTTTCCTCTGGCTTGACCCCGCTTTCCTAGTTTAAAATCTTGGACTGAACATAAAACAGAAACAGGAAGACCTGAGGCCCTGTCCTTCTTCAGCCTTTCTCTATCCCTAGCCTCCCCAAAGATCAAAATTTAGATTTTCTACTAGTATATATTTCACACAGAGAACAGAGCTGAGATGCATCCCTGAGTGCATTGAGTGAAACCAATGTTTCATGGAGCCCTGCTTGGTTTTACCAGCTCCTAGCACAGTATTTAAGACATGAAGGAAAAGACAGGAGGCAGATCCCTACAAAGAGGAAGCTGCCTGGAGAGAGGAACAGAATTGGATTTGTACAGGACTGTTCTGTGTTGGGAAGGTTGTCAAGTGAGAGTACAGGGTTTGAATTCTTTGGCCCTGCTCGACCATTATCTGCTTGCTGAGCTTGGCATTCTGCACTTGATCCATGTAGAACAGGATTATAGCTTGTATTTTAAAAGGAGTAGAACACAACCAATTCATCTGTCCCATCACTGGTGACCTTTATGGCTAGTCTGGAGTTAAGGCATCTGAGCCATCAGTCAGTCTGGGATAAAACCCTTACCTCTGGATACACACCAACTGATCTCTCTATGTTGTCTCGTACACTGGCCTTCATGGATCTCTCAATTTCCAGCAGCCAGTCCTCCACATTTTCAGTGGGATAGATGGGAACAAACAGCTTCACCTCTTCTCCTTCAGCAGAGTACATGTGTGTGATCTGTAGGTCCTCCTGGAACAGCAGCTAAGAGAGGATGCACAGCAGGAGATATGATTGGAAAGTTTCCTTTCCAGCCCTACCAAACTATATAGTGGTGGATGCTTATTATAAATCTGGCACCAAGCTTGGCTGTGGATAATGATAATAGTGTAGCACAGATGTGCAAAATTAACTATCCAGAAAATGGAGAATGATTACCCAAAACCAAAAATTTCACTTCCCTGGTTTAACTCGAGTGAAGTCAATCAAGTTATAGGTAGGATTAACATTTCTCATTGCATGTCTTGAATCATTGCCAAGGATTCAAAGCCTTGATTCCTGTCAATCATTTCCCTTGAGGTCAAAGTGGCCTGTCCTAAGGGTAAAATTTTAACAGCTTCTCCAATGCCCCAGCAAATCACTGAAAGTCTCCTTATTTATTCCAATGGCCTTGCAACAGGTTTTCAATTCAATTTCTTTCCTATTTTCCCAAGCTAATGACTAGGAGATGGGATTCAGTGCCTGAATATTGTGGTGGTTTGAGCTGTGACCCATCCTGGAGTCTGACGTTTTATAGGAACAATAAGGAGGAAAATAGCGGGGTTAATACCAGCTCCTAGGGAGGGATAAAAGCAGAAACCAAATTTAGTTCAGGCTTGCTCATTCCGAGACTCTGCTGCGACTGTCAGCAAGTGTGGGATTCCACACAAAGTGTCTGGAAGTAAACAGCTAAATCTGAGCTATTTCTCCTGGCCTCTGTGGGTAACCAGTGGGAGGCACAGCCATTTCCAGAGGGAGCATCCTCTCATCCTAAGATGGGCATCTAAGAGAAATCCAGTAAGTTGCCTTCTGAAAGTGCCTGTTTTGTCCACAAGCAGTCGAAGGTGCCCGGTCACAGGCAGATTTGTGACTGTAGACATTTCACAATGGTGTTGCATAAATCCCACTACAAGGCAGCCAGCGACTGCAGGGCATTGCTACCCTTCCACAGAGTCTGCTGAAGACACGTTGCACTGCTTTGCAGACTGGGAATCTTAACTACTCTTATCCTTTCCTGACGCTGTTTAGTAAAGGGCAAAATTAGCTCAACTCCTTTATTCCACGTAGAAATAATGAAGCTGTCTGAAAGAACCAAGTTGTTCATGTCTTATGGTGGCTGAGCCTGCATCTTGCAATGCCTACATATAATTATAGGTTTTCAGAAGGTGTTTTTCTGCACAGCAGAATGTAAACACTCCTCCAGATCTGGGACCACCTCCAAGTTCCCATGTCACTTGCTTTCTAGCGGTGGGTCGAGCCACGAAGGTGCTTGTTTTGCCTACCTGTGCAATGTTCTCAAAGCATTTACGGAGATGAGGCTGTACAGCAGTAGGGTCTTTTGTCTGAGACAGTATTTCCAGCAGCTCATCATCTGAAAGGAAGTAGAACCTGGAAGCAAAGAGCGAAGGGTGAGGGGAGGCTCTCTTCACTGTAGCACCAGGGGATGAGTCTTGGCAAAATGAGTAACAAATGAGTAACAAATCTATTGTTAGAGACACTGGTTTTGACTATTCACTGGTGTCTTGGTGCAGGAGAGTAGCAGTCATGGTCCAGCTACCATTAAGCTATCAAACCTTTGCAGAGAAAGAGGAAGACTCCTCCCCCTGCAGAAGCCAGTTATTTCCATGCAAAGTAGGTTTAAATTAGTTTGAATGAATAGTGTGTATTCCTACCAAAATGAGACAGTTTCCTGAGGTTTCCATTTTATTCTTCTTCATTTCTAAGCAAATTAGGATCAAAAGGCACAGACAGGCAATGATGTAACCAGACTAGCCATAACCTGGGATATTTGTCCCTGCTTGCTTTCTCCACCTCAGAGGGCAGCATTGAAAGGCACAGTCTGGCTGGTGTTTGAAGTCTCATATCCTAAGCTTAGATTCTTTTTTTCTCCCTGCCATGTTCTGTCTTAACAGAGCTAACTGGAACGAGCCCTTGATATTTTTCTGAACCAAGAAGTGTGATCCAATGCACTGAAATCTGGGGTTACCTGGGGAAAGCACTTCTCTTGGTCTCCAAATATTCACTCAGACCTTTCTGCACAAGTTCTAGCAGTTGGTTACATTTCCGCAAGTTCTCTAGTAGCTTAGGATCAGGACACAAAGAAATCACCTATAAACAGAGTGAGGAGAAGCAGCAGCATCAGTATTCTGAGCCTGTGGGAGATGAGGCAGTGGGGATAACTGGGTTGCCCAGTGATGTTACTGATAGGATCAAAATGACTCATTCACAGAAGTATTTTCTCGAGGAACTGGAGAGGTGTGAGTTTTGTGGGCAAGGAGGGGAAACAGCACTTAGGGACGTGACAAACACATTTTTGGGTTCCTCTAAATACCAAAATTTGCAATACAAGTGTTGATGGAGTCCTGGGAAGTAAAGATAGGAAAACAGAAGAGTGTGGAACAGTGGTACCAGGACACAGGAGCAGGGCAAGGGCAGCAGAAGATCCAGACCATGTCTCTAAGCAACTTTAGAGAGTCATTCTAAAGGAGGAGTTGCCAGGGATCTTACAGATCAAGGTCAAAGCATGCCTGATTATGGGAGTGGAAGTGAGAGGCAGGAGTAAAGGGCTCCGTTTGCTGCAGAGAGTCTCTGGGACAAGTCTGTGCCACTCAGTGCAGAAGGACAGGGCTGGCGCATGCTATTGCAGGAGATGCCTGAGAATTGAACACTAGAATGCAAGGCTGTCTTCCAAGAGAAGAAATCTAGCACACCACCCTGGGTAAGGTTCACACAGTGTGTTGGTGCCCATTCCATTACAAAAAATGGCTTAAGGGCAGCCCTTTTGTGAGTGCTGAGGACTTGGAGCTAAATGGACTGGCTTTCATCAAGGCACACACCTCGGGGTTTTCCTTAGCATTTTTCATGATGTTCCTCCAGATTCTATCCATGGTCTGGTAGCGTGAGCTTTCCACTGGGAGTTGTCTGTTGATGTCTTCTGAGCTAAAGATGGGCTCCAGGTAGAGCCAGGAGCGCTGGCAGTTCAGCCATTCCTCTAGGACATCCTAGGGGGGAAAACAGAGGAGCAGGTCAGGACACCAGTGCTTGAATCTACTAGTCAATCTGTGCAGAAAAATGTGTTAAAAACTGTCATGCTCTAGCCAGGAGCTGTAATTCCCTTCCAAAATGTTTAACAATGAAATAACATAAACATCTTCTTTGCTAGCTACTGTCAGTAGGCATCAGAATCAACACCCACTTGTTTAAGGGGTGCAGTTTAGGTCTGTATGTAAGTCAGTACTAAAGATCCTAGGAACTTTGGTGCTGGATCAAACTGCTGTGACAATTCAATGTTTCTGTATTTTACAGAAAAGTGCCCTATATGCTAGCAAAATCTTATTTTGTGAGAAGAGGGGGAAGGGCAGACAGAATGCCACAAACTTTCCAGTTCTGCCTAGTCCTTTCTCCTCCCTGATATAACTGGCATCCAAATGAGCAAGAATTGGGTTGGAAGAAAATCCTCTTCTGTTTTCAGACACGGAAGGTTTGAAGGTATGGGGAACCTGCCCAACATGGCAAAGTAGCTGAAACAGTTGCCTTCCTTTCACACTGTCAGAGCAAAAGCAGCCTTAGTCACAAATACTGTTCCCTGATCCCAACCTGCCCCTTGACGTTGCAAGGGGAAGAGATGGTAGTGCAGACAGCTGTATTTGCTGCTTTATCAACAAGCCACTTCCCAGACAGGGAATCGTGGGCCTGCAGGGACAGGAATAAATGCAGTCAAGTGAAGCAGGAAAGGGATAACACACATACAACATCCTAGTCCAAACCACAGAGTAAATAACTGGATTCCCCACATCACCTGCTGCCTTAAGGCTTGCAGCAGCATTTCTGTACGCAAGGCCAGCAGTCTGACAGCCCATGGCCCCAGGAAAACCCAAATAATAAATATTAATAAACACAATAGTGTCATTAAAAATAACAGAGAACAATGCTGCCATATAAGCAGGCATTTACATAAAGTTCTCCAGCCAGGTACTTGTAAGGCAACTTCTTTCCTGCAACAAAATATTGTTCTGCTTGTTGCGGGATGCTGAGCCTTCAGCCTCTGGTTTGAGGTAGAAGTGACAGCACAGTCTGCCAGAGCTGTTCTAAACAGCCCTCTCACGTGTTTTCCTGCACTGAGATGTGAATGTTTAGCATGGAATGGACTGAACCAGCCATTTGATGTGGTTACTGTAGGGCCTGTGTGTGTGGTCCAGGTGGTGCAATGACACTAGAGATGCCAATACGACTACCCATAGCAATGGGAGAGTCTTGGCCCTAGTGAACTCAAGGAAGGTGTTGTCATTGGTAGCAATAGGGCTGGAATTTCTCCACTGCTGTTTGCAGAAAAAACTTTGAGCTTGTCCCTTTTTCTGGAACCAGAGTGCTTTGGCAGGTCTTTTTCCTCCCTGAAGACAGATGTCCTCTACAGTCCACCCTGCTCCCTAGCAGCACAGTGTCTGTGTTCGAGCATGGCACCACGGCCCAGATGCTGCCTTTAGCACCTGAAACTGGGTGGCAGAGCAATACCTGTGTCATCTTCAGCGTGCTTTCCCATGTGTTCATCCTGTCTTCAAAAGGTTTCTTGTATGGCGAGAAGGACATGCTCTGAGTCATGACGATGTGATCGTCCAGCAGCTGAGAAGCTTCATCAGGGTTCTTCAGAATAAAGGTATCTGTGTCTTTATAGGGCATCACAGTAAAAAAAATGGAGCTCCATTCATTCTCCATCTTGTCCAGTGCCTGGAACACAGGGACAGCAGTATAATTCTCAGACACAAACTGTGCAATGTTTATTCCGGCTCCCACATCTCTTATTGCCTCTCCTCTACAAATGACGGATTTTTATTCTTGGATTCTACTGGAAACTGCAGCCGTGTACTTAATGCATGACACATTCAGCAACAGCACGTTTCCCCTGCGCTGGGTTCAGGGACCCAGACACCTCAGCCTTGCCCTAAAAGGAGCACCTTGAGGGCAAAAAAGGGCAGTTTCATCTCCAGGCCCATTTATGCTACTGGAAGCAGAGAGGCTGCCAGCAGAGTGCCTATTAATGATTATGGTAATAGCAGCTTTGTGAAGGAGGCAGCTATCCACTGGGAACTCGCCTGAGATTTTGGAGAACAAAAGCTGTCAGATGGTAATGACTTTCAATCAAGACCACCTTAGGTCACATCAGAACTGGTGACCTGAAGCTGAAAGACTATCTAACCTATGAATCTCTGGAGCCAGCGAGTCCTCCCTGCATCCCTGCATGCATTTACTGTGTTAAAGAATTTGACACCTCCATTTCCAGTCACAGCTAATATCCCTGAAATAGGTTTCTAATGGGAGAATGCAGACCATCCAATTAGTTTAATTTAGCAGTTACTAATCCCAACCTGAGGTGTAGGAAACAGCCAGTGGGTCAGCATAACGACCATTCAGGGCTGTTACATCTGTACTTTCCATGTCAGGAGAAATAACTTCTTATAATGTGTGAATGTAATTGCGTGCTCACTGCTCCTGTCTCCTTGGGCAGCGATTTTCTCACTTGTGCTGCAGAATGTGTATAATGTTCTGGGAAAATGTGAAGACCATCCCAAGCAGGTACTGCCTGCACAACAGAGGTCCAACGGAAACACCTTTAAGAAATGAAGACAGACACAAAAGCCCCTCATTGCTCACACTCTCGATGGCGTACTCCTTGCTGGCTATCTCAGCTACTTTGGCAATGCTCTCAATGTGGTCCAGCAGTTTCATGTCCAAGCAGTGAGAAAACGTCAGCCCAGCGTGTGGCTTGATGTTGATGTTAATGTCTTTTGAGAGCATCTCCCAGTGCCGGTTCCTCATGCCAGGATTGTGCAGCCCTTGAATCAGGGGAATGTACGGTTTGAAGTCTTCAATCTTGCCCCGGAGCTCCACTGCCATATCCCGGCAGGCTTTCAGGGAAAGAAACAGAAGAACATCAGGAACAACAGCAAATAAGGAAATTGCCTTAAGGGATTTCCTGAAAGAAGTCATACGAACACTGATGCGCCTGTAGATACAAGACACAGAGGTAAGTAGCAGGGCAGAATGCACTGGGAAATGCAAGCTTGAAGTAATGGGGACACAAAGGTTCTCTCACTAGAGCCAGGGTTACTCTTGCCTCATAAAAAGTCAAATTCGTAAGGAAAGGGCTCGGGGAATGCAAGACTTGCACTCCAAAATGCCATGGAAGCCCATGTCTCTGCACCATTCATCTCATGCTCTTTGTTAGCTTGTGCTTTTGAGAACAAAGGGATGGGCAAGCAACAAATACGGGAACTTGCTTCCTTTCTGGCTACAGCACATGCTTCTCAACCGCGCTCTCCGTGGAGCTGCCACCCCTTCACATTTCCTGCAGGGTGGCATGAAAGGACAGACAGCCTCAAGACCAACACACATATTGTACCAGGTGCTGCAGGATATTGCAATGAATATAAGCAGGTATTCTTAGTATTTCTGTTTACCATAATGATTCATACTTACTCACGCATCCACTCATCACCTCCTCCATTGGGGCTGATTCATGGCATTGTTTAAGAGAGAGTTCAAGTGAAAAAGGATGAATCAAAAATCTCCCACTGCAAAACATATTTCAATCTAAACCATCTGGCAGGAGATTTTAGAATTAGCTCTCAAGAATGACCAATGTGTCTTCGAGAATCATGGAATAGGAAGTTAAGCTACGACTGAAGTCTCACTTCCAGTTTTAGGAGCCATGATTAAAAGAAGCGCTGGATGCGATCACCTAAGCTTAACACTAGGGCAGACAGGAAACCAATTATTGCATTCCTCATTATCATTTCCAGACTTTGGAATTTCATTTTGCTCATAGCAAAAAAAGATCCTTTTTGGCTTTTCATTAAATTCAGTGGTCAATGCTGAGGATAAAAATGGCCAAGAGAACAGCACATGGAAGACCTAGATTCAAGTTCATTTGTTGCCCAACTTGAGCAGGCACTTAAAAATATTCTCAGGGGAAAATAACTTTGCTAGCGTTTCTTTCAGCTGGCTCTAATACACACAGCTCAACAATATGACAGCCTGACAATCCTTGATCTGAGCTTTCTGTGACACTGCTCACATCAGTATGCTGGTGTGCACCAGCTTCCTTTCCCCAGACAGCATAGCTACCTGGCGAATCCTTGAACTGCCTCACACATCTGTGCATCGTCTTAAAAGATTCATTGACGTTCTTTTCTAGCTGTTCAGCATCAATTTCCGTGAGAGGATCGTTCATCCAGCTGTCATACCAGCGCATCCAGTCTGAAACTGTAGTCCAGAGATCGTAGTATGGCTGGAATTCCTTAACCATCCTGGACAACCTACTGTACTTTGGGAAGACAGAAAAAGCTAGTATAAACAACAAACATATACTACTCTGGATGACAGTTTTTATGTCAAAAAGACAAAAAAGGGATATAATTCCTTTGTGAATCTCCAGCAAGCAATGAGAAGGCACATATGATTTCAAGAGAAAGCATCAGTTTCTCTTCTCATGCAGGCCTAGGACCACAGTGTAGATGCCCAGGGAGTGACTAGCAGAGCTGGGTGTTACATCTTCAGGTCAGGAAAAATGAGTGTTTTCAACTCTAAAGTATTTCCTTAAAGGAATGTGCTCTGATCTGAGCCCAGCCAGCTCCCTGCACCACTGTGCAATGATAGCTGTTCACGTGTATGTAACTGCAGTAGGAAATTGACCTATCTTAACTAACATTTTAAGATCTTCCCCATCCAACTCCTGTTTGATAGCATCACTCAGATTTGATATGTACCCTTGATGTCTCTCAGGGAAGTAACCCTATCATGTCCATGAACAGCTTTCTACACTTCTCTGGGAACAGCTCCTCTGCAGTGCAGGGGAGTGACTGAGCAGCACGGTCACCCTAAGGGACTGCTAAGCCTCTCCAGTCACTACTAGACAAATCAAAAGAGAGTGGGAAAGGGAAGAAATGTCTTTATCTCAAATATATGATGCTATGTGGAATTATTGTTCCCTCTTGGGGAATCACGACTCATTATTTGTGTTACATAACACCTAAAGGGCCCAATGTAGACTATGCTCTTGCAGCAGACCCTGTAGGAGACCGGATTTGACACTTACATTAGTAACTGGCATCCCAAAGATCCTTTCCCTGTTGTTGTAGAGAATAGCCAAATTCTGAAGCTCCTTCTGCTGCTTTCTGATCCGCCTTGCCTCATTAGCCAACTCATGAGCTCGGCTAACGTCCACCTGGATGGAAAACCCACCCACGCTCAGCTGGAAGAGAAAAGGCAGACATGAGATACAGCTCTGAAGTTGAGAGCAGCCTTGGGAAGTCTCAGCTTCTTGGCATGCTTCATGCTATGCTCAGAGGTAAGATATTTTCACCTCTTTTTATCTATTTCTGTTTAGACCACAATGGAAGAGGTGAGGAGAGGCAATAACAGGTCAGGGAGCTGAACATGCAACTGTTAAGGGCTGGCTGCTTTTTTGTCTTTGTGACCAGCTGTCAGCCACTAAAGAGATGAATAAATCTGCCCAAACTTCTTGCTACTGAACTATAATATCAGCTGTTATAGAATCTGTGAAATTAAAATCATAGCTCTACCAGGTAATTCAGTCTACTTCCAAGAATTATTTAATAACATCATATGCTGAGCTTCTCTAATCATTTTGTGTTTTATCATTAAGAGTACAATGTTGGGGTGTTATCGTTTTAGGAGGGTACTTCTGAGATTACAGCCTTTCCAAGATGGTATGTTTTCTAGAGGTAAAAGTTTCTGTTGGAAAATAACAACAGAAGTGTTTTGGTGAAAAAACAGAAGTATTTCAGCTCCAAAATTCTGCTATGAATTCAGGATCCTTCCCACAAAGTGTGTTCCCTGCCCGAGCGCTGCCTTTTCTCTTTCAATGGCAGCACACTGTGGTAGATGTTCTGTGAGGAGCTGAGTACCCAAGAGAAATAAAAGGAGGTACATGTAGCACCCAGACTGCTGCTTTCAGAATGAGAATGCTGTTACATTGTGGTGAATATCTTCCCTATGAAAAATCAATATCTTCTATGAAATGCTGACTTTGAAACAAAAATGAAGCTCTTAATCAAAAACCCAATTTCCAATAAAAAGTAGAGGGACTTTTTTTTTTTTTTTTTCCTAATACTGTACTAGCCTAAAAGCACTAAAATCTCAAGGTTTCCCACCTGGCTGACCACAAGAGCTCCCAAACCTGTTTCTTGGACAATCTGTTCTCAATGGTTTAATACCTGCATTGCCTCCAGCCTCTCTTGAAAGTTGTTCTGATCCATGAGCTGGATCTTGCGAAATTTCTCTTCCTCTTCCAGGTGCTGCAGCTGAATGGCCTTGGTTTGCATAATTATTTTCAGGGGCCAGTAACTTGCAGCCCACCTGCACTCACATGATAAAAGGGGAAAAAGAAAAGAAAATAAGGAGAGGGGAGAAAAAAAAAAAAGACAGAGAGAGAAGCTTTTGGGGCATATGCTTGAAATGCTGAAAATAACAGAATGAGAAAACCAGCCCCCACCACCAAGGAAGCTTAACACCAAGAGAAACATATGTGTTTTCAACAAAGCATGCTTTTTTCCAGCTTTTCTTGCTGATATGCTGTCTTTGTGACTTGGCTATTCACTTAGAGAAGGCTCAGGAGAGGCAGAAGGCCTTTTAAAAAGGAAGAAAACCAGGAAGATGCTGAAAAGCTAGGAGACAGCAAAATAATGGTAGGCACCCAGAGGGACTGTCTGTCTTTGAATGCATTCACAAGAAACAGAACAAAATGGGGTCAGAGTCCTGGTCTGTGGCTTTACAGGACTACTGAAAAAAGCCAGTCCCATGTTAAGAAAGGCAGTGAGTGCCCAGGATATCTCAGATAAAGGCAAGTCCTGAGCAACAGAGAATCTGCAGAAGGTACTGGGGACTGCAATGCACCTCTGGGTTCATGCCAGGGATGGTTGCATGGTCCTTGCTCAGCTGTGGCCCACCTATGGCTCTGTTTGGACTTTTTAGCTTGTGTGCAATGCCAGCTGCAAGCTTTACTGCTGCTTTGCAGCATTTCTTTGCAGCCATAACCTTCCCAGCAACTGGGGATGAACCAATCTACTAATTCTGCATGCGCCAGACCTGGCTAGTGGGAACACTACTACAGCTGTGCTAAGCTGCCTTGGAGCTGAGCTGATTTTCTGCAGTCGCTGAGTTTTCTTGGCACAGTGCATCCCATATCTCCAGTTTCAGGAGAACACTGCATCCGTGTCGTGAGAGCAGCTTCCAGGGATGGGCTGACTTTTGAAGCTCAAAAGGTGTGAGTTTTGAGTTGACTTTGCAACAGTGGCATAGTCAACCCACAATCTGAATAACATAGCCAAAAATAACTATGAGGAGAAAGAAATGCAGTGAGAATGAGCCATTACATTTCTTCCTAATCCTCAGTGAACCCTGCAAGTGTTCCTACTTTGGACATGGCCATGAAGTTTCAGACACAGACCAAACTGTGCCCTTACAGACCTTGCAGATGATGTCTCTGAGAGAAGGGGAAAAAAAAGGAAAAGCTTTGGTATGTTAAAGAGGTTAATAGCTACCAGTTTGTCTTGCCCTAGGCCAGAAGACAGCATGAATCCATGCTTCTCTGTAAGCTTCGTTTTAGGAGTTCAGTGCTCATCTAGCCTGAGAGGCACTTAAAAGTTCTGCTGGAGCCCTTGATAGACAGACATATCAGCCCCTGAAGTGCTAAGAGTGGTAATTGCTGAAAAGTGTCCCATTTTGGCAGTGGGAGAAATGCCTTGTGCTCACTTTGCAGTGAAATCTTGTTGGGTAAGGTTGTAAAGGAATTCCTCCATGACCTCGTAATCTGCCATGACTTCCTTGATCAGTTCCTGCACAGGGTGACAGAAAGGGATATAAAATAGACACCTTCAGACTGTCCTGATTACAACTCTCTGCAGTATACCTCATTTTCATGAGACACCTTTGAAGGGTGTTAGTCATGCGTTTAGTGTGCTTTAGGCTGCTCCTCTGCTATATGAACAGAAGGAGTGGAGTTCCAACCCCTTGCTGTATGCATGATCACACTGCCACATTGTCAGGCAACATTTTTAACTGCTATTCTGTTTTATGTAGATATTAGTGTTTGTGGCATGCATTTTTATATGTGATAGGAATCTTATGCCTAGTGTACATAGACATATAAGTGGAGTTGTGTTTCTGAGACTCCACACATTGCACTGTCAAGGTTACACCCCACCTTTCCTGGTGTCCCTTGTCCCTCGGGCCAGTGCCCTACCTCCTGCACGCTCAGCTGCTCGGGGACTCCCTTCATCCACTCTCGCAGCTCAGCCAGCTCCTCGATGCTGTTTGGCTTCTCGTGCATTTTCCAGCTGGTGGCTTTGTACGCCTCGCAGATCTGCAGGACGACAAGCAGGCACCACTGCAGGCACGTGGCTTCACCCTGCGGCTAACAACCCTCATCTGGATGAGGACTGACCTTCCATCAACAAGCCACAGCAAAAGTTTTCATGATGCTGAGCTCATGACCCCCGTCTAAGCCACCCAAAAGCCAACCAACACCTTTTCAAATCAAGTAATTAATCTCTAAGGGACAACTGGAAAATCAGGTAGGATCCACACGTGTCCCACACCAAAGGTGGTCTAAAGGGATGAGCACCCACTGCTGCTGCTTTTTGTTCTTCCCTCTCAGTCCTTCTCCATCCATTCCATTTGAGTTCAGATGGAATGAGAAACGCAGTAGTTGAAATGATGAAAACAACTGAGTAACAAACAATTGCATCTGTCAGAGAATTGTCTATTGCAGTTGTCATGAGAGGAATCAGAAGGCACTTCCAGTTGTCTACTAGACAGATCTTTTGAATCTACAACTATTTTATGAGATAGTGGAGTCTTAAAGGCTTCTGTCTCAAGAGATACAGCTTTCAGGGACATTATTTATTAAATGCACTTAATACTTTATTTGGTTGATTTTGCATATTTCCTCTCTTTTGTCTTAACTCTCCAATGTAATCTATAAAATGTCCTCACTATTGTACCTTCAATCGTCTTTTGTCAATCCCCAAAATGTCTTCTGGCTGCTTCACAAAAAGAGCAGAAGGCAAGACACTGAGACAAGCTACTGACCCAGGTTACTTACATTCTCTACTTGTAAATGGAGGTTTTTAGCCAGAATGTCCAATATGGAAGTGGCAAGCGCTTTGTATTTTTTGGACAGATTTTGCTTAACACCTTCTGTGATGATGTGGAAGGGACCAATGACAATGGAGCTAGGTAAGGTGTTATCCACATTCTCTTTTTCAGACAAATGTGTGATTACTATCTTCCTTATCTCCTGGGCAGATGGACATTGCTCTTCGTAGTCCCTGTAAATAAAAACACCAAAGTGACCTGAAGATTATGTTAACATCCAAATTATTCATAGGATGGCCCCACATGCCCATTCAAAAGACCAAGAGATAAAATTAACGTATGAATCTGGCTTACTGTGATCAGAAACACATATCTGTTCCAACGTATACAGCTTTTTGCAAGCAGAGTGAGCAGCTGCCAATATCTTCTAGATTTTACAACCAAAGATAATGATTACATAGGAAATGAAGAGTGTTAGCTTCAACATAGCACAGGAGCTAGAGCAGCAAAGATATAATACAGGCTTCAGTGTCAAGTGCATCATGTGTGCAGAGACCAATCCATCCTGGGTTACCAGCCTGCACTGAAGCCTCTGCAGTCCCCTCTTGGCTGCTGCTGTCACCATCTCTGAGCAGAAGAAGCCAGGTTGCCTATGACTGCAAGCAGTGCAGCTGCACCCACGTAGAGGACTAGACAAACCCAACAGTGACAGAAGACACGGGTAGAAGAAGACACAGGACGGGTAAGCACCTGAGGAGTGTTACAGGGAGAAAGGGAAGGGAATGACTCGAGTCATTCAATAAGGATGAGTCATTTTTATGGACAGTAAAATCTCTGGTTAAGCTTCAAATATGACATGGGTGTGAGTGCTGTCAGGAAGAGATTCTTGCTGGCACCACTGATTTCTATTAAAAGCAAGGGCTGCTGCCCACAGCCAGAGGCTGTCTCCCATGGCTGCCTCCTCGGATACATCTGAGGAATGTCACCTATGCATAAGGGCTTGGAACAGATCCCATATTCTTGCTGGATGCTACATACTCTTGTCTCTATGGGATGCCACTTACTTCGTAAAGAACTGGATGTCATTGTTATTGAGTTCCAAGAATTTCTCATATTTCTTGGCATAGGCTTGGAGGGGGATCAGTGCCTTTTCCATGGCAGATTGTATAGTTTTGCGTAGTTTTTCCACTGTTGGTTCATGCAGATCCACCGATTCCAGCAAGGGTGTGCCCGCAATAAGTATGTTCTCCAATACATACTGTAAGAGCACAAGAGAAAAGATCTTATAGGGCTAGCAAAGCTAACCATGCTGGTCCACCTGGGAAGAAACTTCAGCTGTTCTCCATGGAGTCCCACCAAGGTGAGACATCCATGTCAAGGCACATGGTGCTAAAGAGATTTACACAGGTACATTGCTTTTTATGCAGAGTAACTCACCTTTTCCAGCTGTGGGATAGTGTGGGTTGCCAGGATTCCCTTATTGAACAGAGAAATGAGGGATTTCTCAAAGTTCTCCACGGGAGTGCTGAAGTGAACACCATTGCTGTCTAGCACCAGGTCTACTACAAAGAGTGGATTCTTTCGAGGTCTGCAGTGGAAGAGATGAGGAACAACAAGGCAGCTTTTTAAGAAAACAGAACGTGATAATAGTGCTATGGTCTTGATACTTAAGTGCCTACTGGAAAGGAGAGGAAAGCAGAGGAGAGGAGGATCATCCCGTTCAGATGAAGGCGCAGCACAGTGTATCTGAAGTAAAGACTTTGCCACTCCTTTCTCTTTAAATAGGAAAGAGGTTTCAATGGCGATGTATCGGGATCTTCAGAAGCCATAACCCTATGATGAGAATCAGAGCTGACTTACAGAGAAACTACAGAAGCTCTTCAAATGGGGATGCAACACCACCAATAACTTCTGCAGGGCATGTTTTAGAAGTGTAAGCGAGCTCTTCTAATCCTGAATATCGCCAGCATGATTCAGAATCAGCTAAGTTAATGTCAAGACTTTTACTAATTTCAGAGTGTCTGGTCCAGGCCCCATGTAAGTGGCAGACTTTTTTTTTTTTCCTTTTTTCCTTTTTTCCTTTCTAAACTTTCCTTTTTAATACTATGAAGTTCAGTAGTTTTCAAAGGGGGAAACAAATTCCAGGCATGCAGACAACCTGAATTTGGTATGTTTTAGAGATCCCAGGACAGATTCTATTCCTGAGTCTTAACTCAGGAATGGAATTAACTAGTCATAAAGTCTCTCGGTATTCCTCATCCTGGGCTCCAAAAAGAAGCTAGCCCATAATTACATGCTTTCTCCAGAGTGTTGGGAAGCATTCATTTGCCCATCTTAAGACCAGCGTATCAAAGAGGCAGACCTTGCTTCTGTTGGCTAACTCATACTGCTAAGACAGCAGCTTGAAATCTGTCCTAACAGAGCAGTCGGCTCCACATACTTCCCCCAGCCCCAAGGGAGGAAGGGCAGGGGGTGGTGATGGGGGAACAGCCCAACCTGAAGTTCCCATCTAGTGCAAAGCTTGCTTGAAAAGATGGTAATTAGAAAGAAAAGGGCACTTCACTTCTCTGCTCTTTCCACTCTTTGACCTTTTATCTCCTCTCCTTACTTGTATGGACTGTTGATGAGATCGTCCCCCCATTCCATATCCTCTGAGCAATTCATGACACTGTGGCAAGCATCCAGTAAAAGCTGGGTGAAGCTGACCAGTGAATTCTGAACCAAAGAGCGCACAGAGTCTTGCAGGTTGAACTTGATGCGGTTCATCAGCTTATGCAGCTTGGACATCTCGTAGATATAACTGTTGCTCTGTTCCAGGTTGTACCAGCCTTTGCCTATATCTCTCAGGCAGCTTTTTATTGCAATCTTTAGAGTATTGATCCAAGTATCCTTGAGAAACATCTGAACCTAGGGCAAAGAAACAAAGCAAGCTGTGTAATCCTCCAAGAGCTGGTGGAAAAAAGACACGGCCAGAGTTAGCTGCCAGCTGGGAATGCTGGACCTCTCTCTGCTGGGGGGAAAAAAAAAAAAAAAAAAAAAAGGAGATATTCTCAAGAGTGGCAGCAGCTAAACAATAGCCCTCAAATCCATGCACGCACACGGCCCCTGAGTCTGGCCATACATCTCCCAGTGACAAAAGTACCGCAGAGCAAGCGGATACTGAAAAGCAGGTGAGCTCTATTATGTCTTTTTATCACAGTTGTTCATTTCTGTTTTCTCCTCTATAGAGCAGCATCTCAGAAGCTGCCTGTGTTAGGGTTCCTCAGAAGAGGTTCTGGAGACAGTATGACGAGCAAGTGAAGGACAGAATTTTGTCCTCTCTTGACAAGCAAGGGGAAGTAGCAAAGGGCAGCAACAGCCTGCAGGGTTTTAATTCATTAAAATAATACCACCAAGTGTCACTTTTGTTCCACAGGCAGCTGCTATTTGTGTGCAACACTAAAACCTCAGCCATGGAGCAGATGACAACACTACCTTGTTGAAACAGCGTGGGACTGGGAAGCATATACCCTAGGCCACTGATTTACTGCGCAGCTCTGGGTAGGTCATATACGTGCTCTGTGGGCCCATATCCAGTGTCATTTAGATGACATGAATATCTTCTGGTGAAAGTTGCCACCGAATTACAATTTTCTTCCTAATCTGTTTGTTGGCATTTAGAGGCAGAGTAGTCTAATTAGATACATAAAGAACAGTTGTTTAGAGTGGAGGAAAGCATTAACCTTATGAGTGCTTTGGAAAAAAATCGAAGCTCTTGTGCCTTGCAGCTAAAAGGAATAGGGAAATAAGAAACAAACAAAGAAAAGGGAAATCCAAGGGTGTCAGCCAGGATTGTAGTCTGAGTGGGGAGAAGGAAGAGGAAAAAGGGGATGTGTAGCTATGTGGCCACTTGCTGAAAGGATGACTAAGAGCATGGCTGGCTGAGAAGCTATGGCTTCCTCATCCAGTTCTCTCCACTTCCCGATATATTTACTGGTTTATGATGCAAAATGCTCCCTTGGCTACAAGATCTCCTTTGAAAGCTCACCCATTTTTAGTTAGCAGTTTTTGAGTCTGTCGGATACATATAGAGCGCCCTGTGTTGGCTGCCCCATGTGTCTGACCCCCATCCCCATGATTTTGTCTTCTCACCTGAGTGAAGGTCTGGGTCTGTATCTGTTCAAACTCCTCCAGGCGGACCTGCTTGGCTAGAGTTGAGTGGAACAGAGACATGGCAACCGCCTTGTTGCACTCATCTTGCACCTGTGTCAGGGCAAGGAGGACTTCTGGCCTGGTCAGGAGCGAGACAAAACTGAAGCGTGCTTGCTGCTCATTAAAAGGATAGTCTAGGATACGGATGAGCCCTGGCACCAGACAAAAGAATGTGTTATTGCCTGCACTGTGAGACAGACTCTCCTTCTGTGCTAATGTGCAAGCAGTTCCAGCAGATGGCTGGAGGAGAGAGCCTCCTCTGAAATGTTCTGCAGCCTCCCCATTAGAGACTGAGGTCTTGGTCCCTGATGTTCCTAGGGTTTTGTCTCATGAAAACTTCCATGATAAAGAGCAGGGAGCCTGAGCAGCTTCTTGCTGAGGCTTCAAGGCTCATCTGAGCCAGCTCATGAGAGTCAGTTCACCTGGTAAAAGGCCACTCATGTTCCAACTTATAGAAGAGGGAAGTGCATGGACAGAACCCCATTTTTTTTCTGGGCATTTTACTAAAAGAGTTTGGGTCATCTCTCATGTATGAGCTCTGGCAGTGAGCCCTAACATAGTGCAGAGTGGAAAGCAGTTATGCTAATCACTCCACCCTGCGTTTGGTGCCGATTAAGGGTGCACTTGCAGAGTTGCTGCAACTACAGCTGATGGATGGTAATGTGTTACGCTGAGGTAACCTGAATATGCAAATATACCCTAAAACCCAGCAGGCATACTCCAAAAACTCGTATCATCTCCTGCTGCGGTCCATTATGGGTCCTAATCATCAACGTGGATCTGAGAGTTTCTGTAACAATGTATGAATCCTATTATAAATACAAGTCCTATACCACAGCAGAGTCCCAGATACTTCTCTACGTCCCATACCTTTCTCTGGCACTTTCTCTTCATCTTTGTCTGGCAGAGTAACATAAGAAAACGTCTGAGGTTTGGAAATGACAACTTTGTCAAAGATGATCTTGTTCATTGCACGTTCGTAGTCTAATCTCACTTCTTTTTCCAGCTGGCACAAACGGTCTAATACCCTGTTAAAAGGACATGGAACCAATGACAATCCACAGGATTTGAGCAAAACTGCATGTCTGTACTTTTATTCCAAAAATCTACCCATCAATCACTTCTGGATTAGCTGACCAGAAGCTATGCCACTACCAAAGGCATTAGGAGAGCTGTGCAGACTACAGAGCAGCCAGCAAAGCTATCAGCTGGAGGGTTAATGAGAGGTGAGTGGGGACCTGGGACTAAGACTGCAGCCTTCTCAGGTGTTTTCTCAGATCAAAGTAAAATCTCTTGAAGTGTTTTGCAGGGAAGAAGCATTACAAGGAGGAAGGGAAATAACCAGAACTGAGGAAGCAGTCTGGTAGTTGCAGAAAAGTGGGCAACCCGGACTGTCCTCTCAAACTGTCCTGCTGAACCTCTTGAGGACACTGGTTTCCTGACCCAGGACATGTAAGTGCTGAGTCTTTGCTCTTTGTGACAACTTTGTGAAGTTGTCCTCTTTCACCTCAAGCAGACAGAACACTTTTCTTATTTGTGCTCACAAACAGAGACCAATTACTCTCTTTCCAGGTCAGGCTGGCAGACCAACCCTTCACACCTTCCTGTCTCTGAGCAGGGCAATCAGTCACGGCTCATTCCCAGTAATGCTACCAATGGCTCATGATTCATCAGCCCAGGGACTCTTAAAACTCCTTCCTGATATGAAATGCATTTGAAAGAGACACTGTCTGGGGGATGCTTGTTTGTATCCAGGCGGAGATCTCCTGTTCTGTTTGCTCCACTAGTTCACTAAGCAGACCTTTTGATTTGTTTTAGTGGCTATTAGTGGTAGAAGAGTCACCAGCAGGCAATTGTCAACCTCTGGAGACAGCTGGTGGTCTGCAGATCAGTTCAGAAATGACCGGTCTGTGTCCTGGAAGCTGTTATGGACTGTAAATCAAAGTGCACGGTTCTCTCTCAGTATTAAGCTGCCCTGCATTCATGGAACTGCCAAAAGCAGAGCAGGCAGGGATGTAGCAAGGCCAGTGCTGTCCAATACGCCTGCTGTTGAGGGCCACCCAACTCTGGGTGCAAGCACTGCTTGGGGATCTGCACGTGCAGTGTAGCTGCTTTATCTGGCAGTGCTGACAGAGTTTTCTATACTCCGCACGTCATCAGGGTTCTCATCCTACCTCTATCTGGTGACGCTCTGGGGAAGAGGGTGGCATGAACAGACTTGAAAACAGATGAACCCCCTGGGCTATGAGTTGGATGCTCAAGATCTGCCTGCACTGCCACCCATTCTGTGTCCCTGTGAAGCCCTATAACGTTAATGAGTTGTAGGCTGAGAGCCTAGACGTGTACTTGATACTCTACCGTTCCTCTTCCTTCAGGTTGGGCGTATGCACAGCCAGCAGCCTCATCCTGCCCAGGCTCTCCTCACTGATGCTGTTCAGGCCATCTGTGGGCATGCAGTCCACGTACAGGTGGTAGAGCAGCAGCGCCTGTGTCTTCTTACGCAAGCTGTTGGCAGAAACCACCCGCCGGGCAAACACCCGGGGATCTTCGGCCAGAAACAGCAGGCAAACCCGGGGAACCCAGTACTGACACGGCAGCAGCGGGGCCCTTCCTGTGAAATGAAGGGAAGACTTAGGAGAGTCTACAGAAAAGAAAACGCTCAGAATGGCTTGCAGCAGCTAGCTGACTCACAGTGTAATTGGGTTGATACACTGGAGACCAAAATGAGCAACTGTGACTGAGGACAGCAAGAAACAGTGTCATGGAATTAGCAGCATTGCCATCCCTTTCAAAAGGTGGGTACTTCATCTTAACTTGTCGGTACCTTGCATTGGTTCAGGAAGCTCAACATTTAACTTCTCTTGAAGGCAGGGAAGGCAAGAAACAAAGGAAAGGTATTTCCATAGGAAAGGCTTCAAATAGATTATCAAAATAAGGTGTGGAGTTCTCTCTCCCGGAGGGTTTTTTAACTCAGGTTAAACACATCTGTCAAGAAGGATGCAGGGAGAAGGTTTAAGTGACTTCTTGACATTCATTCCATATACACCTAGGACCAGTGTGAGTAATGGACTGACTCAGAGTATAGGCCAGACTCCAGAAAGTCTTTCTGGGTACACACCTTCTGGAGTTACTCCTCCATTGACGATGGGTCGCCCCTCTTCATCTCTTACTAGCCCATTCTCATCTGTTTTATGGACCAAGTAGAGCTTTGTTTCCTTGTCATAATCCAGAACACCAACATCAGTCCACTTGTAGATTAACTGCTGACTTTTGGGGTCCTCTGAGAGGAATCAAGCATTAAAATAGGGTTAGTCCATTCTCCTGAGGGCTGCAGCAAATAGAGCTTCCTGATTAGACTGTCAGGACTAGAGTTAAATTCATCAAATTTTCTGCCCATCAATCTTAGATAATTTCTGCAGTGATGAACAGAATAATGAACTTGGGTCTTGCATCTTAGTATTTCCAGCTCTTTGCACATACAAGTGCGCTCCATTTCCCTTCTCTTACTCGTGTGTGTCATCCTCCCACCTCCTGCTTCAGGTGCTCCCATTCACTTTTCTTGGCCATACCCCATTCCTGGGTTTTGTATGCCCCTACATCCTCCCTTCCAGCTCATGCCTGGAATCTTCTCAGCTTCCCCATTCCCAGTTTTGACTGTACTGGCTTCCAGTCACAGAAACTGGTAGGGAAATGTCAGAGAATGCTACTTTAAAAACAACAACAAAATAGGAAGAGTTGAATCCAGGGCAGGACTGACAGTTGTCCAGATTCCTGGTCTCTTGCTCTGACTGCTTGAGCCTGTTCACAGATAAGCTATTGCATTTCTGCTGATCAGAACTGCATTCATCATAACCTAAATGTTCCCTTCTGCTCAGTGGGCCTGTAGTTATTAGCTCTTCTCTCCCTCCTTTAGCAGCTGTTCATTCAAGCTTTACCATGTCCCAGTACATCATCCGTGGGTAAAAGTGCTTTTCCAGGCACTGGCTTTCTCTCATGAGATCCTGGCTCCAGTCCTAGCAAGATCCACTCTTCTGGAGTTCTGCAGTCGTATTCTTCATTGTCAAATATCTAAAAAGCCAGGACATAATTGAAAAGAAGTCTTGTTTCAGAGAGAAGAAAATATCCTGATACTAAATTTAATGAGAAAATTAGTAAGCAGCTTAAGCTACAGTTCTTAAATGGACTCTAAGAAGGAAAAGCAGTGGAGGTGCAGAAGCTGCTTTTGATCTTTGCTCAACCAGCTTTTCCCAGAAAACAGTTAGAAGTATCTTCAAGGGCTATTAGTTCTGATAGAAGATGTGGGCAACCTGCAGATGCTTCGCATCTTTTAGGTATTCTTCAGTGTCCAAGCCCATATCAATGACTTCTAAATTTCTTGTGATTCTCAGAAAGAGCCTGTGGTGTCAGCATTGAGGCAGTTTACAAAGAATACCAATGCTCTTACCTTTAGTGGAAGGTAGACAGGAAAAATAGGATCTCTCTTGTCCACAATAGTTGGCATAGTGTCAAGTTCCTGGTGTCTTGGCATCAGCTCATTGGAGTCTATCCCCTCAGCGGATAAGAGCTGAGCAATGTCAAGGCTGCGGTATAGCCGCCTTCTCCTGTTTTGATTTGGATGAGAAAGTAACTGCTTAATGATCCTGTAATTGCTCCTGTGACACAGGGGACGCTAGGGTCTGGAAGAAATGAAAACTTTCTGAGAAGCTTTGCCACAGAAAATTGGTTATACGGGATCAGTTCTGAGCTAACAGTGCTGACTGCAGGCTCAGAGGTGATATAAACTCCTCACAGGACCATGTTTTCCTAAAGGCTTTTGATATACCATGTCTTGAAAGCAAAAATGAACACCCAGTCTGTTGTGTCCATTCCATAATGACACTTCCAGCCACCTTCTGGCTACTTACCTCTCTATCTCAATCTTTCGAGGGCACTGCCCTGGAAGCCTTTGGAAGGGAATCTGCACTTTGGGCTTAAATGCTTGCAGCGGGAAATCTGACTTGATGAGGATCTCGGTGGTTGGGCCAATCACTTGCTTCTCTAGGCAACTTCCAATGTCCTCGGGTATCTTGAAGGTTGTGACTGAGAGACAAATAGAAACAGAGGTCTGAATTGGAAAAGCATCACTCTGCTTTACATACCTATATACTGGAGAACTTGCTGTCTTCTAGATTCTTCCTGTGAGAGCAAAAATCAGTAGTAGCAGGGTAGAACATGGTCAAGATAGTGATAAAAGGCTCATGAGTATTGCAGAAGAGCTAGCTGCTTTGTGCTCTGAAATCCCTGTTCACCCTTTACTGGGGACAAACTTTTCCTCAGTTCTTGCTCAGGAGAACCTCCCACTCACTCCAGCAGTGGTGTGTGTAAGCAAGGGCTGAGTGAAACAGCTAACAGTCCTAGAATTTGGCCAAATGGGAATTTGGACTAAGAAAGAAGTATACGTTTCCAAGAACTGGCTGAAATTAAACCATACTCTGTCGTTTACTCCATAAATAAACCAAGCTGTTTGGACTGCTAAACAAATCATTGCTAGCTTCAAATAATAGAACAGTAGCAAACTGGGAATTTGAAAATGAACCTAAATTAAGTAAATGCATGCAAGTCTGTCTTTTTTTTTTTTTAAAAAAATACTATTCTGAAGCAGAGCTAACCATTGAGGCAAAATGAGATTTTGGTGGAGTGCAGGGTTTTCATTGATGAATTTAGATACTTAACTGAGGCGAAATTAAAGTTCTGGCTTAGAAGTGGGCATTGTAGATACCAAGTTCCCAACCCCGTCCTTCCCGCTTCTGGGAATGTTTGACCCTTAATTGCAAAGCAGCTGTGTGGTGTTGAGCCTGGCAAAGTGCAAGCACACATAAGAGGCACTGTGCACCTCACTGGTGCCACTGCAGCCAGGGGTGCTGAAGCCAGGGATATTTCAGGAGGATGCTGGTACAAAAAGGCTGCTTTCAGAGGTCATTCCCTAGCCCTTAAAAGGGTCCCTGACACAACCTGTGTAGCTGTACATTGTCTGCTAGAGGAGGTAGCTTCCTTCAGGACTCATAGCTTGGAATAAATATGATAATAAACATTTGCACTGTCCATACCAAGCTATACGTTTCTGATAATTTTGGGGAATCCATAAAAGGCAGAGGGTTTCCTACTGCTCCTTTAGCCTCACACATCTCATTGCTTGGCATCTTTGGAGAACAGTCCTGATTTATATTTGTTGTCAGGGAGCACAACTCTTCCAACACTGTCGCTCTGCTGTTGCAGAACCCATGGCACTATTCATGATGGCACTTTGTGCACTATCAACTATTTATGTCAATACTTAGCATGTCATTTGCATTTGCAGTTCCAGCCTGATGGCTTCTTCCCCGTTGAAGAAGCAGCAGCTCATAAATAGAGATCTGTCCCCACTTGTTAGGGATAAGTCTATCTTGTCAAGACTCACTTGAGGATGCAGTCATTTCTCCTCACGAAAATAAATGTCACTTCTAAGCACAGGAAAGTAATGTACATATAGTTACCATCCCTCTCTGAAGCTGAAAGCCTCTTGTATGCACTGCCAGCCCCCTGGACACAGTGCATCCTCTGGAGAAGGGATATATCCAGCAGGGAGAAGGAGGAAAGAAAAAAAAAAAAAAAAAAAAGAGCACAACTCTGCCACCCAGGTAGGTCACTTTGCTCCATGTGAAAGGCAATTCACTCTTCCTGGGACCTTCAAGCAGTTCAGCACCACTGCTGGCACTGAGGGGAGAGTGAAAGCTGTGCCCTAACTTTGGCAGCTGACAGTCAAGTTCCTGACACACTCAACACTAGCACCGTTAAGAGTTGCCACAGCAGGTTTCTTTGCAGTAGATTTACCTTTTGGGCTGTGCTGCTCGAGGTCTGCCTGTCTCACCAAATCCTTGTGCACGTGGGGGCCAGCACAGACGTCCTGAAATGCATCATGTGGGGGAAACGTCAGAGGTAACAGGACACAGTTGTAGTGTAGTGAGTTAAAGGGGGCCCCCAAGGAGCGTGAGCCACTGAGACCCAGTTTAGGAACAACGAGAAGCTGTGAATAAGGGCTAGGAGAGGCTTAAAGAAGGACCAACATCGAGAAACTTCAGCCCAATGCAAAATCAAAGCCAGCCATGTGCCTGCCCCGGCAACTGGCTGGCATCACAAGCCCAGACATAGTGATGGAAAGGAACCCTGAGGATGCCAGCACAACTGTGATGAGGGGAGCCTCATGGCTTCGCCTTGCGAGGGCTGAGGTTGTGCTCAAAGGCCTCTGCCCCCAGGGAAGGGCTAAGGCCTGGGGTTAAGCCACGTTTACCATACGTGTTGCCAATTGAAAGGGTCCTGGGTGGGAAAAGAACCATTCTTTGCACTTACCACGTTGCTGAGGGTTGTCTCAGTGAGCACATCCGAATAAAAACTCCTTTCACTAAAAGCAGAGTATTTCCTTTTTCTCCCCTCGGTGCTGCTGCTGGAAGGGGACGGAGTCGCCCCTGCCCCGCTGTGCCAGCGCGGCGCCTCGCCGCTCGTGTGGGCAGCGCAGGGCCTCCTCCCGAGGGAATTCGGCGAGTCCCGCTTCGCTTCATCCATCTTCTCCAGGGAACAGGGCTGGGACGCGACCCCGGGCGTGCTAGAGTGGAAAGACATGGAGCGTGTTAAGCGCAGCACCGCTAGCACTGCTCCTGCTGCACTGGATAGCGTCGCTCGCTAAGAAGACGAGGGGGTGACAAGGTAGGTTCGGCCCCCAGCCTCGCGTGGCTGCCTGGCTGGCTCCCTAAGCCTGGAGAAAAAGAGGGTTTGGTTATTCCGGATGGGTTTGGGAGGCGAAAAGCAGCCGCGCACGCACACAACGCTGCCTTCTGAAACAGCAGGGGCTTCCCGGGCCTGCGGCGGCTTTCAAAGGGCTGTCGGGAGAATCGAGGCAAAGTGGGACTGCTACAAGAAGTGCTACTTTTGCTGTACCAAAATCCCTTAAAAATCTTGTCACACTTGCCTCCAATGGGAGCACGCTCTGGCCTAGATACCAACACAGCTCCTCCCAGATGTGAGGTCTGAGGCTTTCACTTAAATAATGCAGGAGAGACGTCTAAGCGTGGCCTGACGAATATGAAAATATAGCCAGAAGCTCCCCTCTCTCTGCTCCTGCAGGGGATATTTTTACTGGTTGCCGCTGCTCACAAATAATTTCTGTTCTTCCACCTTGGGAGATGCAAGTCCAGGCAAATCTCACACGTGCACAGTCGAGAGAGAGGGACTGAGAGGAGCCTTGGACCTAGGGCACAATAAAAACACAAGCCTTGATTTTAGACTTGTACCTGCCATGGATAGAGGAAAATCCCTTGCTCTTCCCGCCAGGCCCTCTCCGAGTGGCGTGAAAACAATGCCCGTTCCCTCCTCTCCATCAGAGAGGGCAATTTTTCTGAGTTTCACCTTGCTGCCTGCCTGCAAGAATGAATCAGGCACACGCAGCAGGGAGAGCATTACCCACGCACCCAGATAAGAGGGAAGAGCCGCTGGCGGGTTTAGTGCCGCAGGTTCAAGCCGGTGCACAATCTTGAGAGGCTGATTCAAAAACAGAAATCAGATAATAAATCAAGGTTACCACCATGCGAATCCTTTAAGTGAAACAGAGTAAATGAGCAGATTGCAGAGACTTGGGAGGCAGGATCAATAATACCTCCTGCCCTAGAAAATCTCAACTCTTTCTCCTCTCTGCTTCTCTTTGGCTCAGCAGCAGGAGCCTCATACCCTGAAGAATGAATTTGCCATGGAGGATTTGGGTTTTATTAGTTATTTTATGCCCTGGCCATATCTACGTTAGCAGCCCAGCAGGAGTGATTGGTATCAGCGGCGATGCAGGGATTCCTGATGAATCGCTCGCTGCTGGACTCCTCCGGGCCTCGGCACCGGGTGGGAGAGGAGCAGTGGGGCCGGGACCTCCTGGATGTCACGTCCTGGGGGCGCAGGAGAGGAGGTGACACTGTGACCCCTTGTTCTGCCCGTCTGCCTTGAGCGCTGCAGGCCCAAGGCTGCCCCGTTGGGAAGGCGAATTCCAGGCCCTGCTCCTTCACACCCCGTGTGTCACTCACACCCCGTGAAGTCCTTCCCGAGCACTGAATTAACCCCCCAACTAAACACAACCCGATTCGGTGTCCAGCTCGAAAGTGACCACCCGTCACACTGCTGCGACACACGGGAGGGGGCCCCGGTGTTTGCAGCTGCCAGGGGAAAACACCCACCGGCCACCCAAAACAACCGCAGCGGCTCCCCACAGCCCCAGCGGTCAACCACGGAGCGAGCAGCTTGTCTGCGCCAGCACAGTGACCGCAGGGCAGCTGAACGGCCCGGGTCCGCTCGCGTGCAGGGGTTCCGCAGGGAGCTTCCCTCGGGATGCAGGGGGTTTCCACAGGCAGCTTCCCTAATTCAGCAAATATTTCCTCTG